TCTAGGCCATAGATCGATTTTGTAGAACTAATAAGTGTATTCATACGTAAACGACTCTCATTAATTGTAACTGTCATAGGCTAAGCTCAAAATCTGAATTTGACATTCAAATTAAATGCATGTAAATAGTTAATAATTGTCTGTCAATACCAAGCGTAGTGCGTATCAACAGCTGTCGTTGGGATTGCGTGTTCGAATTGAGAATTGATTAATGCCATCAGTGGGTTACTTTTAACTTTCAGCATGCTGTACTTTGTGTAAGCTAATTGCAATCGACTGTCCAACGAAATTCCGCCGGACTTTAAGGCCTGACGTAGCTGTGGCTCTAGCTCCATGGGCGAAGGTGACTGTCTGGCGATTGGACGCAATGACTATCCGACACGCAGAACGGGCTCAAGCAAGTGCAAGAAAATGAAATTGAAATACATTTGGAAACGACGGCAGGCAGCGGCGAAATACTTAATTAATTGGCCGCGCTTGAAACTAAAAGCAAATGAGCACCCGTCAGTTGATCACTTGATCGTGGAAGGCGGACACGCAAGTCGAAAGTAGCTACTGCCTGTGCCTGCCAGAAAATCATTGTTGTCGAATAAGAGTGATAACCCAAGTATTAACTACCCGCAAAGCTGACCACATTCACGACCCGTAAGAGAGATTTAAAACAAGTTTTTTACTCAGTCACAATGGCGATTAGTCTTTAAACTAGTTGTGTACGGAGCGTTCAAAAGTTCAAGTCTAATTACGTCCAAGTCGCGTAACAATCAGAAGATTAACAGCGGTACACTGTGCGAATGTGTAAGAATATATTACCACCGATAAATCCTTATATAAAAATGGTGAAACGTGCCTTAAAAACTCTTCAAAACCTGTGTTTACAGAATGGAATTTTATCACGAAAAAAAAGTATAAATGTGTGAAAAACTATAAAAGTGTACTTCGGTTTACGTTCTAGAATAAATACAGGAAGTGCATTTTTCGCAAGTGTTTCCAAGAGAATTTCTCCGAAAAGCGAGTGTAAATAACCCAGTGTAAATGCCAATTCAAAAATTATCTACTTCGTGAAAAATTCTGCATTTTAATTACACCTATTGCTAAAAAAAGAAAGTTAACAATTTGCAAGTGCTTGAGTTTATGAACAATTTTGATCAACAAACAATGATAAAGGTTTTGCCTTGGAAACAATTGAGTGAAATTAAACTAAATTAAATCTGTTTTATTTCTTTAAAGACAATATGCTAAAAAGTTTCTTAAACATTCCCTAGTTGTTGGGAATGTTTTTGTTTGTTTCCAAATTTACGATTTTAAAAAGAGCGTTATAAGAATAAGTTGGATTTCAGTGTATTTACCTAAACATTATATTTAATAATGTTAACTGCTGTAGAGAATCGATTAAGTGCACTACACTGTGAGAATCGGGCTACTTAACTTAATTTTTTAACAGTGCTTAAAACCATGGAAAAAGCATAAAATTTATGCTGAGCTCACAGAAAAGTTTTAAACTTTACTTATGCAAAGAAACCGAAAAAAAACAAAGATGACCATAGGCGATTCGCGACGTGATCTTTTAACGCTCTTTGACTCGACTCTGTTCGCTTATAATGACCTATTAAATCGCGGTGGCCTTTTTTAAATGCCCGACTATTCCGACCGACATACATTTCTTGATAACTTTGTTATATGTGTAATGAGCGCGTGCACATAAAAGGGGCGGCTATAAAACGATTTGACAAGCAGCTCTATATTTTCAGTCTCTAAACGCGATCCAAGCTCACTATATCACTGTCAAAAGAGGGCCCAAAAAGGATTTCAAAGCTGAACACACACTTATACCTTTGGATTAGCTGATTTAACTAAGGTTGGTAAATGTTAATTACAATTTTGTGTGTCGAACTTTAGAATTTTCTCTTATTTGAACTTATAAAACCTGGATTTCTTAGATGTTTTTTAAATGCGGAAATTTACTTTTATACTTCTATTTTGCCTGAACCAAAAGTACAAATAAAAAAAAACAAATTGAATGCTAATCTTGTAATCAGGATGTTGTTATTTTAAGCAAATAAGCTGATAAGCAATTAAAAAATATTAAAAAAAAAAAAATTAGGACACCTTTTGAAAATTAAAAGGATTTTATTTTATCTATAGACATGATTAGTGGTGTGATTTACAGAGTTGTGACTGTATAACAGTGGCCATCACTGACTGGCTGTATTTTTTGCATTTCGTTTTCCTCATTATTTTTGCAAGTATTCCTTTTTTGCGTTCGTCGGTCGAGAATTTCAAGTAAAGTTCAGTAACTCGCCGACATTGACCCATTTACTGTGCCTTCGATCCGATGCTCCCGGCCTAAACAAATTAAAAAAAAATATATTATTTTATTTGCGCTGGCATTTGCATGTGCAATACCTTTAACTTATCGTGTTCAGCTGATTTTTTGTGTAGTTGTACCGTGTTTTTGATTGCATCGTCATGGCAATGTTGACCGCTGCATCTGCGATGAGGTGCCTGCCCTCTGAAGCGGCGCCCTCTTTTCCGACAAAATGTAACCGTATTGGTGAGGAACAGTAAAAACTCCCTGCATTATATATAATAAATATATATATATATACATATACACATAAAAATTAAAAAATACTTGAAACATTTTCTTAGAATTATCTGCACTAGAGCAGCAAAGTTTATTGGCAAAGCGTGGGCGTAGATAATGCGCATGCTTACAGTTAAGGTCATACACTGAAAACTTATTTACAAATTATATAAATAATATTTGTTTTTTTTATTAAGTAAAAAGATTTGCTTTCTTACATAAATAACCAGAAAAAATTGTGTTTATTTAAAGAAAAACTATGTATTTTAAAATAAGCTAAATTTTTTGTATATTTTGAATATGGCCTAATATTAAAATTGGCAAAAATTTTAAAATGACAACCTTATTTTTAGTTAGAAAATAGAAGTAAAAGTAGTAAATTTATTTGGGTACATTTAATATATTCTACCATCTTAATTAGTTTTTAAATTTAGTTCATAACTGTTTAATTTTGCTCATAAAGAACTAAAGTTACTTTAACTGTAAGTTATCCAAATATTAAAGACAGGTTTTCATGTAACTTAACTTTTCCCAGTTTTTAGTAATGCTTACTTGTACATTTTTTCTTAAGAGTAAGGTCAAAGCACTTTGTACATTGGAATTGCCCTTGCCATTGTCAGGTTTTCAAAATCAAGTTTCTCATGTAGGGTTTTTTTTACTTTCTGCAAGAAACCGAAGGGCGTAGGCTGACATTGCAAAGGGGTCTTAACCCCAGAATTAGTCATATTACATGCTTTCAGGTATAGCTTTTTTCCAAGCCGCCGTTGTCGCCGGTTTATAGCACCCAGTTTTCGTCAGCAGTCGCCTCAAGTTCGTTATTAAAAATAGACAAATAGTCCAAAACTGGACCCAAATGAAATCGAGAGTATTAATATAATTAACGAAGCGTAAAACCATGAATGGCCGAAGTCTTCGCACGTGCGATCGCGCATTTGAACCGATTTGTCCAAAACCGGGCGAAACATTTTCTGTCCACAAGACACAGGGTGGCTGGGCTTTGAGACGTGTTAATTATACCAAATATGCCCGACATATGTACACTTGGCGCTACAAAAATAGGACATAAACTATTAATACTTTAAGAAAATAAAAAAACATGGGTAATTCGTGTAGTTTCTGACCTAGTTATTAATTTAATGTCTGTTCTTTAACTCGACATTTTACAATTTCAGTTCGAAAACCATCTATTGTACGTTATATAGTTACTTTTCTTAATTATATATATTTCAATTTGAAAAAAAAACTACATTTGGCAAAAAACAAGTTATAGAATATTAAAAAAAAAGCATGAAGCTAATCAAAAAACAGGTTTTGCAAATATTCCTTCTTTAGTAAAATAAATTAACAATAAATTTTAGATGACTGCATTAGGCATAAATCGCGTAATTGGGAAAGTCCCAATAACTTTGATTGACAATGCGATATTGACATGACCCCAAGTGTAACTTTGTCGAACAGGTGTAAGCATTAATTGGCGTAGAGCAGGGCAACATTGAAACCGGATAGCGCAGCGCGGAGTTTCAGGGTCGCCGTAGGAAATGCCTATATGCCGAGGGATTTTCAAGCGCCCTGTACTCTGAACAATTACACTCAAAGAAAACCCGAATAAATTAGGCAAAGCTCGGAAAGTGTTGAGGTTGAAAGCGAAACTGAAACCGGCTTCAGGTGGCATCATTTCCCAATGACGATGCACCCAGATTAAGCTCTCTCTCTCTCTCGGGGTAAACTCCACATATCTCACACCTCTCCTCTCAGGTGGACACACGTGAACGTCATGCTCAAGTTCAGATTTATATAGTGTTGTCCATGTAAAATATAAACTTTTTTAATGGTGATTTTTTGTTTTACTTTGATTTAACTACTATATGTAAATTATAGTTATACATATACTTATTTATGAGAAAAAAATTTTTTTTCAAATGAATATATTATTTAAAAACTTATGAACAAGTTACATTAAATAAAAAAGCTCTTAGTAAAAGTAAAAATCTGTACAATTTTTCAAGATTTGGGGAAATTTATGCATGAATTTAAACTAAAGGTTTTAAAAAAAAAAAAACCTTTGCTTCACAATTTAAAAATAGCACATACTTTTCAGGGTGTCCCTGTTACTGCCGCTTGCCAAAAAATATACGTCCTTTTGTAATCACCAAAGACAAGAGTTTACTACTAAATAATTTAGAAAAAAAAGACAAGAGTTTCCTACTAAATAATTTAGAAAAATTAAGAAACAACATTTTTTTTTGTATGTTTTCTAAAAAGCTATAATTAATATCAGAAAATAATCTGTTTTGGCAACACTCGTAACTCGAAGCGCATCGTTTGGCTACACCCACTCTCTGAGCGCTCTCTTCCAAAAAAAAATCCAGTTTCGATTCTTGGCCTGGCATAAAATCTGAGACTCGCGCTTTTGGCCGCAACAGTTTCATCTGGGCTTTCGGCTCCGTTGCACGCGTATCTCCCAGCTGGTTTTTAGACCGTCTTCGCGGATTACTGTTAGCCACTAACTATTAACCATTAGCCATTTAGCCCAAACAAGTTTCGGTTTGTGTTGTGATCCGTGTGTACTATTTAAGATGTTGTATTTTCCCAGCCAGCTGCATGGCCAAAATATTAATATTTGAAAAATACACTTATGAATGCGAAAATAGACGAGATCTTTAGCATATCACCTGGCCCATCTAATCGAATTTGGTAGAAAATTTCAATGTCAACTCTTCGCATGCTAATTTCCAAGTCTTTTGTTTTCAATTCATTTGGAGCTGCGCAACAAGATGGAAAATTTATGGCGCTAATTTCTGATTTGATTTCATTAGGCAGCAGCAAGTTGGGAAATCTATAGCGCTAATTTCTGACTGCTTTATAATATACTCACAGACCCTGGGTACTAGTTTTGTAATTGAAAAACAAGCCTAACTAGAATTTTGTTCAAGTAGAACGTGTCAAGAGTTTCGAGAATTGAGTTCAAGGTTTCTAAAAAATCTATGTTTCATCTCTGCAAAAATTGCATTAGCCATGATAATCGTTATCTTTTGCGAAAAATGCAAATTCTCTTGCTTCGTCTTCCGTTATAAGTTTGCGAATGTCAAGGTGAAGGTTGGCCAGGTGATCAATATTGCTATCGATCGGTGGAGAAGTCTAGAAAATCAATGCAGTTTCACGCTTGAGCCGGTTCCGAGTCACTTGTCTCATTAATTGATTTAAATCTCTACCCTCTTTCCTATAAATAGCGTGCAAAATTTGTCATTTTGTCATTAGGCAAACTAAAACTTGAGATTGCAATTTTAAAAAAAGCGAAGCGCTTAGGAAAAAAACTGCAAATTATTCCAGAATAATTTCATTTGAGCGGAGAGAGCAACAACAATTGCAAAATGAGTAAGTAATTGTGAAGTACTGCCGTCATTATATGGACAACTAATTGGCAAATGTTGTCAGTTAGCTTAAGTTATTTAGTTGGAGCCGAAGTTCCAAGTGCGCTTAATGAACAAACCTGTCGCTCAAGCTCAAAGTGCAGGAGCTTCCGCTAATAGCATCTAAGTAATAGCATCTCTCCTTCCAGGAGTGCCCACAATGCTGTCGGATATCGACCAACTGCCCACACTCCAGCTGGGCGACTATACGCTCCAGTTCGAGCTGGGCGAGCCCACGGCCCAGGGCAAGGAGGTGGCCATCAAGGAGCTGCGGGAAACTCCCGAGCGCCAGAAGGAGGCCGCCAAGGAGCTGGCCCGTCTCCTGGAGGGTAAGTAATCACCAGGAAGGGTTTCATTTAATTTAGCTTAGAACAGGATTGATTAAATCAATCATTAATTTTCAAAGAACTAATATTTTCGTACTTTAATATAAAATATATTTTTGGTATCTAAAATATATTTTTTAAAATCTGTTTAGCTTGTAAATGATAAATATTGCATCGATCTTTAAGTTTATAAAGCCTAAATTAAATCAAGAAAGTCAGTAGGATAACTACAATAATTATATTAAATCACAACTTGATAATGTAAATATCAATAATGTAATATTTATTTCGATATAGCTCGTTTAGAGTTAATTGTATAAATGAAACCTGTTGCTTACTTGAATCACTTGATTATTATTTTAACAAGCACAGGCGAATTTGATTAAAAAACAAATATTTTATATTAATTATTCAGGTGTTTCCACTTTGTTAAATGATTGCCGGCTAAAGCGCAATATTCAACAGCGATTTTGATTTTGATTTTGCATATATATAACCTGATTATTTACAATTGTAACCTCTCAAAAATAAGCTAAGATCGAAGTTTAAAATATTAAAAACAATTTATAAGTACATATATGACATTTATATTGAATATTTTTTTCTGATTTAATCTTCTAGTACTGATACTTCAACAGGTTTTAATTGTTATTTTAATGTTTGTACAATCCGGTTTCTGATTTCAATTAATTTTTTCTCATGTTAGAAGTAACAAGTAATATTGAATATTAAGTATCTACTTTTGTAGGTTATTTTTACTAAATTAAAAATTTATCGCCTTTGGAGATAAACCCAAGTAATGTGGTTGCCATACATTTTTTACAATATTTTTTACAGCCTTCAAGTGCTATATTATAGTTTTCGATTCCGTGTCACTAATAGCAAGTTAAGGGGTAAAACTAGCACACCCTTGAGAGGTTTATATTGCATAACTCAATCATATAGCAGAATAACATTCGCTTTTAATTGCTTCTGTACAACCGATCGATCATCTTAATTTAAGTGTGGGTTTTTATAAAAAGCTTTTATGATACAAAAGGTGTGGTTGATTAATCTATTAATACTACATATTTCAGCGGAGACGGATTTGCACTATCCCAAGGGAAACGAGGAGTGGCTGATTAGATATCTGAGGCCCTGCAAGTATTATCCGGAGAGTGCTCGCGACTTGGTAAGCTTTGATTTATAAAAACAACTACATTTACATAATAATTTTATATTTAACCTTAAATAGATCAAGCGATACTACTCCTTCAAGGTGAAACACGCTGATGTGTACAACAACCTGAAGCCTTCGAACGAGGCAAACATTTTTAAGCACAACATACTCACCGTCTTCCCCAATCGAGATCAATGTGGTCGTCGCATCCTGGTTCTGGAACTGGGCAGTAAGTACTCAAAGAAAATAATTATATTTAATCCGATTAATAACAGGTTTCTCGAGAAAACTGTTTTAATTAATGACCAAATTTGATGTCTCAAAGTTTACTTTTATGTATATTATTTTCATATTTTTATATTTCTTATCTGACTATAAGGAAGCTCTATTTTGTGGATCAGATGATCTATGCCTTTTTCTTAAACCAAATTTAAAGGAACTGCCTTTTGTGTTTTTTTTTCTACGAGATAATCAATTTAACTGTTGATTTTAATAATAATGGGTTTTAACGTTAACTACAAAAAATTCTGCTTATACTTAATGTGCATCAAATGATTAATATTTAAATGTAAGCCCCTTCTTCGAGATTTCTTGAGAACTACTAAACAGATCATTTAATCTAATTTAATCTTATTATTATTATAGAACGCTGGAAGCACAAGCAGGTGACCCTGGATGAGGTGTTCAAGGGGGCCGTACTCTTCCTGGAGGCGGCCATGCTGGAGCCGGAAACGCAGATCTGCGGTGCCGTTGTGATCTTCGACATGGATGGTCTCAGTCTGCAGCAAACGTGGCAGTTTACGCCGCCGTTTGCCAAGCGTATTGTGGACTGGCTGCAGGATTCGGTGCCATTGCGGATCAAGGCCATACACATTGTGAACCAGCCGAAGATCTTCCAGGTGGTATTCGCCCTGTTCAAGCCCTTCCTGAAGGAGAAGCTGCGCAGCCGCATCATATTCCATGGCACCGATCGCGAGTCCCTGCACAAGTACATGTCGCCCAAATGCCTGCCAGCCGAATACGGGGGATTCCGGGAGGCCAGCCGGATCGACGGTGACCAGTGGTACCAGTTGCTCCTCAAATGCGACTCCGAGTTCGACACCATCAACTCGTATGGCTACAAGAAGAAGTGATCTGTGGCCAGGAGCTGCAAGTGATATGTAACATAATTAACTCCCCCAAGTCCCAATTTTAAGCACACGTTATAGTTAAGCACTCGATCTGTCATACGCTTGTCCTCTTAGTGAATAGCGCCTAGAAGTTGCCTTAGTCTTAATCAGAATCGGAGCCTCGATCGCATCCAGAGAAAGTGTTATACCTACCAATTATATTTAATCCGGGGTAAGCCTATTTATACCATGTTACTATTGTTCATTTTAAAACAAATTGTTGAAATATAAACACACACTTTCGTATATACATGATGCACATTTTCAAATTCTTTTTTTAATAATGGGTTTTCACTTTTCAGATAGCTACATTTAAGGCACTCTGAAATTTTGCCATCAATTAAATATATATTTTTTTTAGACTTTTGTTGTACAAAAATGTTTTTGTTTTGTATAAATCTGGTATAATTTTTTTCATACTCTATAAGACACCAAAAGCTTGTTTGTTTTTTAAAGGACACTTGCTTTGACTGTAATACAGTATTAGTATATTCGATTAAATGAATAGTTTTACATGTGAAACTTCTTATTCGGATCGAAATGAAAACATGTCTTACATAAGACCTATTTTGACGATACATATAAAAGTAATAATTTAGAATTCATAATAGATTCTTTCAAGTTTTCGAACTTAATAGTTTTTTTTAATTCATGGCAAAAGTATGCGTCATAAAGCTAAGCCGTTCGCTCTTAAGTAGTTCGTTTAAAAACATCGTTTCTTTAGAATATCATCAGCTTCAGGATAATCGCCTTGTATGCAAGCAACACCGATTGATTACTTTTTGGTCTGGGACACTTTCCCCCCCCGCGGAATGCAAAGCTGTGAAGGTCAACCCGGTGGGGCAAGTGGTTAAATTAAGCGTAAGTTCCCTGACAGCTCCAGTCTGTCTGTCTGCTCATAGCCTATAATTGGTGGCTGGCGCCTTGGCGAACATTTTGTTGCCCGCACTTCGCATGGCGGCATCATGGCCATCGCCATCCGCATCCGCATCCTTGTCCTGCCCTCCGCCTCCACCTCCGCCTGTGCAACAGATGCGTCGCTGCACGAGGCGAATGGGGCGCGTTAGGTCAATGGTGTCGCCCTGCTGGCGCAGCTCCGCCTCCGCCACGCACTCCATGTGCCGCCACTGGCGAAGGCCAAGGACGAAGGCTTCCGTCACATTGGTGGCCGCCTTTGAGGACGTCTCGATGTGGCAGGCGATCTTCTGCTCGGCACACCATTGCTGCACAACTTCGAAGTTCACCTGCCGCTTCTGCGCCGGAAGGTCGTTCTGAAACGGGGAAAACGAATTTAATTTTAATTTAATTTAATTTAAACAGGATTCTAAATTAGATGAAAGTATTTCTGTTTTTTATATATTGTTTAAACAAAATTGTATAATAATTAAAATCAATTCATGACTCGCAGCTTCCACAACTAAAGTTTGTATTAAAAGCTTCGCTCAAAAGAAAAATTTTTGATTCTCAAGAAAACCAGTGTTGCATTTGCCTTCTTCAACCTTCTTCCATTAATATTTATTTTTTTAATATACTGCTTACAGACGTAATAGAGTAAGAAAATTTTTAACGGTCGAAACTAAATATTTTTATTAGATACTACATTTTATAATGCCCAGTTAAAAGTTTAAAACTAAAAATAAACTTAATCATTACAAGTAATTGTTTATTATAGCAATAATGCATAACAAAATTGAACAACTTTTTATTTGTTTTAAAAAAGAAAGCGCTTTGAAAAATTAGCAGGGGTTAAAATGCAATAATAATTAAAATAAACTAGAATTATCAATTCCAAACCTTCAAATTTTCTCAATAGTGCTCACCTTATTTCCCACCACAATAAAGGGAAACTTGTCCTGGTCCACGTCTGCATAGTTGAGGAACTCGTTGCGCCACAGAGTCAATCCCTTCAAGCTGTCCCGATCGTCGAGGGCATAGCAGAGCAGGCAGATGTCCGATCCTCTGTAGAAAGGTGTGCGCAACGCCCGAAATCGCTCCTGACCGGCCGTATCCCATATCTGTGAAGTGTGGGAAAAATATATACAATCAGACAAAGGCGACAATTAACTTTGATTGAATTGACGATTCAATCAGCGGTCTATTGAAATTTGCATTCGATTTAAAACAGAACTAGCTGGGAATCATTGCAAGTGTCCAAAATTGGGCTGATTTTTGTATGTCTGACTCACTTACACTATACCAGCATGTGCCTTGTGTGCCAAACAAATATTTAGTTTTAAAGGTAGTTAGAGGCCGACAACTGATAAAAAAAAAGTGGCGGTGATAAGCAAATTACTCAAACATAAATCATTGGATCTGTTTTCTACTAGTAATTAAAGATTTTGATTACCTTAACTATTTGTTAAACATTTTACACATTTAAGTATTTATAGCTTTAAAGCTATGTCTAAGTTATTTTATAAAACATATTTTTAGAATGGTTTAAAACCCCATTTTACTATTTAATAAACGAATTTCTAAACCACTAGAAATATTGTTAGCACCCCCAACAAGGGTATGTACATTTTGGCCTCGAAAACCATTAGTAAACTGACCTTTCTAAATTGTTAGTGCTTCCATGGTAACATGAAAATATAGACAGTATAATAAACACCAGAGTGATTTCCATTTTTTTCGCTGCAGAGAAGCCGGGGAAGTGTACTTTCTGCGAGTTCTTATGCGGTTTAGCGAACCATGAACTACTACATTTATTTTCCAGGTTCTTCCATTTTGGAAAAATCTGGCTTCAAAATATGCGAAATTCCTGTGGGATTAATCATCCAACATTCTGCATTCCTGCTTTTTCTATACCCGGTAAAATCGACTGATTTAATTAGAATCATTATTCCGATTCGCGCCACTTTGGCTGCACTTTGCTTACTCACTGAAACGCGCTTGAATATTTATAAGTTGCCGAGCTTGGTGAACTGTGAACAATATTTTGTTATGGTTTCGATAATTTAAAAGACAAGCGACAAGCATCAATGAAAAACAATTGCTAAACAGATAAGATTGAGAACAAAAACTGCGGCGGCGAATAAAACAAAGTCTCCACTTTGTTAGCAAATAGAGGGAACTGTCATTATTGTTATTATTTTGGTTTTTTGTTTTTTGTTTTTTTTTTCGCAATGCCAAGCTCGACGTTAATTGAGTAGAAATTTAATGCCTATATGTGTGTGTGGGCATGGGGGCAGATGGAGGAGATACTGATATAAATATACAAAGGTACAGGTACAGTGGAATATTGTAGGATTTAACTTGGATTACCTAAAATGCGGTGTAAAAATGTTTATTTTTGTAGTGCATTTCTTGATAAAAACTTTCATAAAATCTACGGAAGAGACGATTAAATTACTAAATTGATAATTATATTTATCATCAATTTGATAAAACTACTAAATAGAATAAAAACTCAATATTTTTCAAATTCAAATTCATCAAAAACAAAATTTTTTTTAACATTTGTGGTACCTTTTTTCTTACTTACAATACCAATAAGGTTACTGATTATGATAGATTATAAAGACAATACATTTTTATAAGAAAAAAATTCAGAAATTATTATGAAAAAATTAAAATAATACTTTTTAAGAAATTATCAGAATTTTATAGAACAAATTTTAAAAAATATGTCTTTCAGTTTGTTTAAATTTTATTTGACCACTGTTCAACAAATGATAGGGAGGGAAAAACAAAGCCTGATCGTTGTTCAGTTTTTAAGTGTTTACATCAACAATATGCCGGTGGATCGGATCGTGGGGCCAAAAGTAGTTGAGGGGGAAGATTGGGTGTTACACGCAAAGGAAATACGCTTGGCTTGTCGTTATCTTGCCCAACTGTTGCATTTGCTGCACACATTGCAAAAGTTCTACGGCCCGAAAACTGAACGTAACTATTTTTTTTTGCTGATTTATGGTATTTACTTTGGTAATAGTTTCTAGTATGTAACCTGCAATGTGAAGCGCTCTCCATCGACGACTATATCCTTGTTCATAAACTCCACACCGATGGTGTGGAAATTGTTTTCCTCGTAGCGATTCGATACGAAGCGGGTGAGGAGGGCGGACTTTCCAACCCCCCCATCGCCCAATATGACGACCTTCAGCAACTTGGATTTCTGCGGTGGCCTCATGTTTGTCATGTTGACTGTGTTTGTTTATTCTTACAATTAAGCCCGGCAACAGTGAGTAGATTTCTTCAGTTTTTCACTACTGCGCAACTACAAAATAACTGCCGGTTTTTGCAATTACTCTTCAATTTAAATTACACCCACGACTCTCGATCGATTTACTTGCACTTTTTCAATTACAATCCGTCGTGTACTTTACAAAAAAAAAAACTAACAGTTTTTTCTACAACGATTTTGAATGCGGGACTCAATAGAAATCCGCGCCGTTGAGCAGCAGGTCCAATTGAAGGGGCTGTCAGCTGACAACTAACAGACCGGTGCTAATGGCACAATATGCGGGCTTTTGGGGGATAGCACTGCCGCTAACAGAGACCCGATTTAGAGTGACCATTATCTATTACCTTGTTATATATTTAGTAAGCATATTAGTTTAAATAAACCTAAGTACGCGAAGGATATAAGCTTTACTATTTATATTGTAAGGAAAACATAGGAAAATCTATACATTTCAGGCCTAGACCACTCTTTTAAAAAAATAAAAATGTTTCTATCTCATAATTTGTAGTCTAAAAAAGAATAATGTTAATAATTTTAGTTTCTAAACCAAAACTTGAGCATTATATATAAAAACACATAGATATTTGCGAAATTATAGAATGTTCTCTAAAGTTATGTTTTAAATATAATATTTTATCGTCAGATTTGTATAATTTTTGTTAAAAAAAACCCTGCTCAACAGAATAAAGCATATTTTCAATAGCCAACCATTTAAACCGTAATGCTTTTAATGTAGGACTCCTGTAAAATCTAAAATAACATTCAATATACGGACAAATTATTATAACACTTACCCATTAAAGGAACATGGTATATTATTATAAATCTTTATTGATTTAATCACAAAAATAAATAAGATCAGCCCTTGATAACCGCCATAGGTCGCATTTTAAGATCAGCCCTTGATAACCGCAATAGGTCGCATTTTGATGCACTTTTTGCTTATGCCCGCAGCGTGACAGGTGTCCACGACATCGGTGACGTCCTTGTAGGATTCAGGGGCCTCCTCCATGACCAACTTGGGCGAGGCCACGCGAATGGCAATGCCCATCTGATCCAGCTTGTCCAGCACCTCCTTGTAGTCCAGATTGCGGCGGGATTTGGCACGCGATAAGGCGCGACCCTAAAGATCATAAATAAGTCATTAGTTCACATATATTCATTTAAATTCTTAACTCACAAAACTAAAATTATTTAAAAGTTTGGGCTATTAATTTAGGTATTTTTAAAACAAACTAATAAAAACTCACCGCTCCGTGGCAGGTGCTGCCGAAGGTCTCATGCATGCCCTGCTCCGTTCCGGTCAGAACGTAGCTGCAGGTGCCCATGGTGCCACCCACCAGGACGGGCTGTCCCGTGAGCTGGTAGTCCACCGGGATGAGGGGATGATGTGGGGGGAAGGCGCGCGTGGAGCCCTTGCGGTGGACCAGCAGCTTGCGCTCCTTGCCGTCCACCATGTGGTTCTCCACCTTGGCAATGTTGTGGGAGACATCGTAGATCACGTGCATGTCCAGATCATCTGGGGTGGTGTTGAACAGCTTGGCGAAGGCCTGGCGGGTGAGGAATGTCATGGAGCTGCGATTGACCCAGGCGAAGTTCGCGGCCGCTGCCATGGCCTTCAGGTAATCCTGACCCTCCACCGAATTGATCCTGGCGCAGGCCAGCTGTCGGTCATTGGTCTCGATCTTGTCCCGCTTCATGGCCTTCTCCATCTGCACGAGGGCATCGGTGGCCACCTGGTGGCCGAAGCCTCGGCTGCCCGAGTGAATCATCACCACCACCTGGCCCGTCTCCTCGATGCCCATCTTGGAGGCGCTCCACTTGTCGTAGATCTCGTCCACCACCTGGATCTCTGCGTAATGATTGCCCGCACCCAGTGTTCCCAACTGCGGCAGTCCTCGCTTCTTTGCCCGCATGCTAACCTTGGCGGGATCGGCATTCAGCATTCGACCGTACTCCTCGCAGTGCTCCTTGTCCTCGGCCCAGACATAGCCCTCCCGCAGCGACCAGTCCATGCCCATCTCGAGGGCCTCCTCCAGATCGCGGGCATTCATCGGGATGATGCCCTTGGAGCCGACGCCCACGGGGATGTGATCGAACAGGGACTGGGCCAGTTGCTCCTTCACCGGCTGCACGTCCTTCTCGTACAGATTGGTGCGCAGCAGACGGACGCCGCAGTTGATGTCGAAGCCCACACCGCCAGGACTCACGACGGACAGCGGATCGTCCATATCGAAGGCGGCCATGTTGCCAATGGCGAATCCATAGCCGGAATGAATGTCCGGCAGTCCAATGGACCGACCCACGATGCCCGGCAAGGCAGCCACATTGGCTATCTGTTTCACGCCCGGCAGGAAGCCACCCACTGCGCCCGGACGACAGGAGTTCTTCAGCTCCTCCAGCATCAAGCGCTCCAGGCGACTGTTCACGTAGAAGCACCCCTCCACGTTCATGTTCGGCTGGAAGCCCTTCTTGATCCGCCAGCAGTGGTCGCTCACCTTCTCCAGGTACTTGAGCTCATCGTTGTACGGCCGCACCACCATCCTGATCTTGCGGGGATTTACTTTGCCAGCTAATCGATTGCTATTTATATGGTCGCTATTTCGTCAACTTTTGCATTGCTTGCCGGCATGAAATGGAGATGCAGTGTGACCAAGGTAGAGTAACAAAAAATACCGTTTGGTTCCCAAAAATATACGTTTCACACCATTCTCATTTCAAATGTACCGTTAATGTATTATAAGCTCATTATACTTCTTTAAATTTTAAATCTATTTAATGAAAAAGATTTGCAATTAAAACTATTTATGTTTAAAAAAATGTATGTGATTTTAAAAAGTTTTAATTTTTAACTATTGCAATATTTATAAGATGGTTACAACAAAACCGTTATTTAAAATTTGCACTTCGAAAATAACAGTAAAAGGTTATCAGCATATAAGAATTTTTAAATTATTCCTCGTTGGTACACAAGGTATATAAAATATAAAGTATTAAAATATTCTTACACGAAAAGTTTTTCCCGGATTTTATTCATTTTCTATATTAAACAAATGTTTTTATAATAAAAAATAACAAATAATAAAAAGAATTGCTTTAAAGCTTTGTTTTAAATGCATTTTAAAATGTAATGACAAAATTCAAGAACCATTTCCATCGAGATCGTTTTTGTTAAAATTCATGACTCCTCAAGGCATCGTGAAATAGTCATTGTAGTTCTTATAATAGTTCTGAATATTATCAGGCGGTCCATAAATCTTGAAATCGCTGTTGATTAGGTCACTGATGAGGAAACTCAGGTTTGGGCATTGCTGGGCCAGATTTTCAGGGGCAAATGGCACAGGCCCTATAATTGTGATATGGATAAGTTTTAGCGATGGCAACCTGTTGAGTATTTTGGGCTCCAGATAGGAATCTCCCGTCTGATTGTTCACATGGAGCAGGGCGAGTGCCTTCAACTTATCTGCCGATTCCAAGAGCTTTGCTATCTGGTAATCGCGCACATCGCAGTGACGCATGTCCAAAAATAACAGCGATGGAACCACTTTATCCACGGCACTAAATATATCAAATGACCACTTGGCGTGGTCCAATTTTAGGGCTTTCATTCGGCGACTCTCGGCGGCTCCTTGGCATAGAGGGTTCAAGTATCGCAGGACATCTTCATCCTTGGTGGAGTAGCCCACGTTAATGTGCAGACTGTTCAGGTGGCGACCCAGTTTGATCATTAGATCCTCGTGGAATACTGGTGGTTGTCTCATGCTAAACTTGAGATCCCTAAATCGGTGCATTTGTCTTTCGATGGCTCCCTCAAAACATTGCAATTCATTGTAGAGCGGCAGTAACTCATCGAATTTTAGGTAACTAAATATTAGATCCAAGCAATCATCGTTCAGCTGCAGCAAGTCCATTTCGAACTAAAAAATAAATTAAAAAAAGAACAACCACGTTTAATAAGTAAACACAATGTATTAGGATTTATTTTTCAAAAACACAAGCCTTTAAGATCACGCTCAGTTGGCTTCTAAAGTAATTCTCATTTTGGCGATTGAGATAATGAATTCTCTTACAGGTTGAACTGGCTACAAAAATTAAAGAATGGAAAGATTTTTAGCATTGGGTTAGGTAAATAACATTAATTTATAAAATTCTTTAGCATCCACTGCTATTTATTTTAATCAGGCATTTAATCCTGTATCCAACTATATATCGCTTTACTTAGTCTAAAATTCCTGTTCTAGTTCTAGATATAACCATAGACCTAATTATAGGCTTGGCAAGATTTGTTTTCCTATATAAATTTCTCAATATTTCTGAGTATAAGTTGTAAGTTCTGAGTAATAGTTGTAATAGCTATATAGGCGTTAGCCCAGCCAGTGTTTCGGCAATGGAACTATCCCGGAACCGCCCGATCCTCAGAGCGTAGGATATGGCGTGCGCTACATAGCTCTGCTCATGGACGCCGTGGAAAAGGTAGGACATGGCACCATGTGCGTGAATGGTGACATCCGAACCGCCATGTAGATTTTCATCTGTATTTATTGCTGCCTGCTGGGTGTACTGCCAATCGGATGTATTGTCTTCCGTTGGATCTCTACGCTTTTGGGTGACAGGATCCACCTGAAATCCTTGATAGCTGGTGCCATAAGTCAGCGTGGTGTAGGGCGTCTGCTCTGTCTTTGATTTTCCCGCAAAACCCAAGATACTGGATCCCCTTTCCGGGTGGCCATTGATGGTCAGACTGTGCGAATGATCGGCGGTGACAATAACCAGGGTTTCGTCCAAACGATCTGTGGATTTGAGGAAGGAAAGAGTGGACTCCACGGCCGCATTAAGCTGGAGAACCTCGTGAAGTGCCTTGCGTGCATGTCCCCGATGATGGGCTTGATCGATTAGGCCAGCTTCCACCACGAGTAGGAATCCCTTATCACTGTTACCCAAAACCTCCAGCGCTTTAAGGGTCATATTGGATAGCGAAGGCATGCCGGATTCACTGCGATCCCGTTCATGATCGTACATAAGGTGTCCATTGGCGAAAATGCCCAGCAGATAGTCAGTGTCCTGACCATTGAGATTCCATAGCTCACGATTATTTTGTACGACGGCATGTGAGACACCCTCATCCTCCTTCTTGCGCCTCCAATCTTGGATGAGATCTCGTCCGTCCGCCGATTTGCTAGCCCAAGTGTCCAAGGGATCGGCGGGTGAGTCGGTGACATTGGACACCAGCATCTGACGACCACCGCCCATGATAACGTTGATTTTCTGACCCGTAGGCTGTTCGATCAGCTGACGCGCTATATCCATACAGCCCTGATCCCGGTCCTCAGCTTTCATTCCGGTCTCACACTCCCACCGACGATCCGGCACATGGGCATAGAGGGCAGCCGGAGTGGCGTGAGTTACCCGGGTGGTGGTCACGAATCCCGTTCGCATGCCGTCCACCTGGGCCCACTTGAGGATCGTCTGGACATGATGGTCCTCCTGCAAGGAGGCGGCACAGTTTCCCAGCGGCACATTCGCGTCCACGCCGCCCGTTTCGTAGTTGACCTTGACGCCGCCAAAAAGGGCCGTAGCCGTGGAGAAGGAGTCCGGAACTTGCTTGTCGGCACAATAGGTCTTCAGCAGTCCCATGTCCGGGAAGCGCTCCCAACTGAGGAGTCCCTCCTCCTTGAATCCGTATATCCGAGCTGCTGTCACCGTGTTCGGTCCCATGCCATCGCCCACGAAGAGTATCACGTTCTTGGCTCGTCGACGATTGAATTCCCGGGTAACGGCCTTCTTTAGCTCGCCTATTCCTTGGTCGTACCACTCCTGCTGTTCCCTGGGCAGATTAACGGGCCAATAGGTCACCTCATCCATGTCGCCCACATCGCCGGCCATTCCGTAGTGCACCACAAAGCCAATGCACATAGCTGTCATCAAGAGGGCCGAGAAAACCACGGATATGATAAAGAGTCGGGATCTGAACCACTTGGTTTGCTGCGAGGGACTATTTGCGCTGTGAGCCGACTCGTCGGCTCCTTGAAAGCTTCCAGTTTCCACACCATCCTTGGATCTGGGCTCCTCCAAACTATTCAGCTGCACCTCCATCATGTCCACATCGCTCAGCTTGCGAAACTTTGTGCTTTTTATCGGCGCTTCACTTCGCTTTTCCATTTCGCAATCACGTCTAGATCGGCCTAATCTTTACACAGACTGAAAATGCGAGATATATGGGCAGATTGTTAACTAATCATTGTTTACCACAGATAATAGGCAATTTATAGACAGAAAGACGTAACTTGTATTGATGTTGGGTATTTATCTGTTGGGTTTAAATAATGGCTACCCGTTAGCTACAAAAGTTTTGCTTCTTACTACAATTGTTTGTAATGGCTAAAACAAATATGAAATTGTGTTGATAAAAACAAGGTAAATATAAATTTAAACGTATTATTTGCAAGATTTTTCAGATAAAACAAATTTAATAACCAATAATCGTATTCACATCACATGTAATTTCATTTCACTAAACACAATCGATTTTTGTTACTAATTGACTTAGTACCGACCTAAACAAAGTAACTATAAGAAAATTTAATGATTTACCAACCTAGTCTATTTTTAAAGTGATCTAGTTTTATCAACGTTTAAATTATGAGTATTTTATTTAAATTTACCAACTGGATTCTTTTTTCAGTATTTCCGACCGTTAGGTCCAACGATACCGATACCATCTATCGATAGGCAAACAGCTGTTTTGGCTCTCTGGCGTTGCCCAAGTGTGGGTGTGTGCGTGTTTCCGTGTACGTGTACGTGCTCCAATGTTTTTTTTTGTATTGTTTATTACCGCCGTCGCCGCTCCAAAATTAAAGTGATTCATTTATAAAACTCGTCTCCGACTCGCGGCGAAATCCACCGATACTCGCCATTCGACCGCTGGCAAAAGCTTCAAATTTAGTCTCGATTGAAACTCCACGCTTTTCGAGTCGCGGGCGAAAAAAGTGTTTGCGTGGATTTGTGCTCTTCGTTTTCAATCAGCATCAATTAAAAACGCGTGTGGCTGTGCCAAATATATCCAATAAACTAAGCATTCCAATTGGAGAGAAGCGGAAAATACATACACCAACACAACAGCAGAGCGAAACAAAAACAACGTCATGGATGATTTGGGTGAGTGCCACTTTTCCCCAGCGAAAAGAAAATACTTCCTTAACTGCGAGAATTCCGCAACATAAAAAGTGTGACGTAGGCAAAAGCCACAAAGATAGTGCTCCGACTCCGACTTCAAGGTCAGTCGTTAATTTGAGTTAATTGGAGTTAATTATGTTGATGCGGGGGACTCTGACATTGGCCGCTAGGTGGCGACACCGAAAGTCGGAAATCTCACGGATGAATAATTATCTTAGTACAGTGAAGATTGGTTAAGATAAGCTTTGGAAATTTGAAGTATTACTAATGGACAATGTTTGCTTAGAGTTTAATTTACAAAATGGGAGCGATAACTGACTCATTATTCACCTCTGTTTCTGGAATTGAAATGAATCAACTTCCTGTTCCTTAAAAAGAATACTACTAATTTACTTTTTAATGGTTTATTTAAGAAATATTCTTAAGAATTAACAAAAACAAACCACAATTCTTGGTAAATATTTTAATTTTAATAACTTTGATTTTAAAACGGTTGTTTCTTAGAATGACAAATATTTACTGTATTTCGAAATGCTTATCATTAGCATACAAGCATTAATCACGATTAAAAATGGTTGTGTTACGTGAGGTTTAATTCTGGATGAGTGCACGTCTTATCGCTAACCCGTACATATGAACATATGTACATATACAAGAATGAATTTAGCAATTTGGCCAGTGCCTTACACACACTACAGCACGCTGAGTTTAACCTGATTTGCATTCCTTGCACTTTTATGATTTATCCAAATTCCTGGAAATCGAACATAAAAACATCAAGGCCCGCACTTCCAGCGTGAGATCATTCACGATTTCCTACTGGGAAGAGGGTGTGGTTGATTTTAGCTCCAAGTTCGAAACCCTTGGACTTTTAGTGAATGATCTGAGAGAGCGAGCTGATTTGCCCGGCAGCTTTATTTGTTTTCTTCCACTGCCACAAAGCGCTCTTTTAGTCACCATCAGCGAAATAAAAGTGTATCTGTCCCCTTACTTTATTTTCTTTATGACACAATTCTTCGCTGTTTACAGTCTCTCTGCTTGTTCTTCTGAATGTGTTTTGATAAAGCCACAAAAAAAGAAGATCCAGCTCATGGAATTGCAGTCAACTCTCCAAGTGGATATGTGTGTAATCTTATTATTTCTGCTCAGACATTCTTGAGAAATGAGTAAAGTAAAGGCCAGGTCAAAAACACTCTCTAAAAATTCCAGCTGACTGACACTCCACCTACGCACAGTGGTCTGCTGTCCACCAATAATTCGAAATAAAATTATAAGTATGTCCAACCACAGAAAATGTCAAATTAAACCTTAGACAAAAAACAGTAATTGTGTTTTAACAATTACTTTAACCGGTAGCCAATCTTTTGCTAATATACCAAAGGATCAAAGGTATTACTAAAAGTCAATACATTTTCTCTATTAAATGGTTTCACCATTTCTTTGCTTTGCTCAAATCGAAATATTCCCATTTCAACTTATAGCTTAAAAAGTTCCACTGTGATTGTCAATGAGCTCGCCCAGGAAGTTGGGACTTCAACTTCAGCTTCATCTTCATCTTGATCTTCTTTACCGGCTTCAATTGCATCAATTTTGCTTTACAGCCATTAGTGAGTGCGGGCCCACTTCATCGCCCACTCGACACGCGATGTCTTCCGTTCGTGTTGCGTGTGCACACTGTAACTGCAGTGACGAGATGATCTGTCGAGATCAGTTTTGTCTGGACCTTGAGGGTCTTTGGAAATATTATTTGAAAATATTTAAAGCTGCTAGTGATGCTTCCCCTCTTGACATTGCAAATAAAAAGGAAAGCAATAACGATTTTTCGCATTGTTTGCTAATCAAAAAGTTTTGTTTATGTTTTATCTACATTCATAGACACACAATTTTTTAGTTTGCCATCAAAATGAATTAATGCTAGCCTTTGTTTACTATGATGATTTCGAAATAAAAACACAAAACGTATTGATTTTACTTGTTTTTACTCACGTTTCTTATTTATTTTCACCAAGGAAAAGGTCGTTTTTATTGGCAACTGGCCCACTGTTCACACACCCAAAGGAAAGCTCTAAACTGGCGACAATATTTTTGTCCGCTCTGGTTTCCTTTTCCTTATGCCTCCCACTTGCGGTCGAGATGCTCCGCCGCAGGCCGCAAAGCCAAATGAAAAGTCACTCCAAAAGCAAATGAAATGCGACTTTATAGCGAACACGCTGCTAATGCTCTTCCTCTCTCACTCTCTCTCTCTCTCACATGCTCATTTGACACTCAAAAAAAAAAAAAAAAAAAAACTGGACCAAAAAAGGGATTGTTTCCATAATAAGTTTACAATGCACTTAGAAAAATATCTCTTAAAGATATTTACATGTATTTATTGTAGTGAAAAGAACTTTGCACACAAAATTAACAAAGTTGTTTGCAATAATGATATTTGTTTTCTATGTTATTTGAATAATTATAATATTTCCCATATAGAAGTTTTCCAATTTGATTAGGTTATCTAAAAATTAATCCAATATGTTTGTAAAAATCTCAAGGAGATATTTTTCTGAGTGCAGTTTGTTTACCAGTTCACAAACACTGGCGCTCTCGCGTTCTCCGCTCTTTACGAGCGACTAGGAGAGCCGTAGAGCCCATCATCTATTGGAGCCCGAGCATTGGGTCCCCTTTGGATTTCAGTCGATTTCGACGCTTTTACTGAGACGCGAGCGCAGCGCGTGTGTTTTCCGAGGTCTCTCGGTCTTTTGGTCTCCCAACGTTCTCCTTCGCTAGTGAAATTATAAACAAAATATGTGACAACACACAGTGCCAAAGTGCAGGCAAAAGTGCACAGATAACACGGGGGAAAATACAATAAACAAAGCAAAACCAAAACAAAAGGCAATCAATCAAGTGCTCAACGGAGAACTGAAGCGGGAAAAAGTTGATGAAAAATCAGTGGAACTGTGTTAGTGATATTGTGGCAGGTTGGAGCGTGGGAAATTGTTTACTTCGAGTGTAAGAAAAATCCACGGCAAAAAAGTTGACAAACATCAGAGATAGCTAAGAACTGAGATAAACGATAAAGCAGTAATGCCAGTAGCAGCTAGATAAATATGAAATAGAGAATTTGCCAAGATTAATGGATCCGTGTCACTCGCCTTAAGATTTCACTAATTCTTGGCAAATCTTTTCGGCAAGTTGTTCGAAAAACATTTCAATTTCATTAGCATTCCCACTAATTATGGAACTAATTATCAACGGACAAGACATTCAAATAGATGACTTATTTGCCCCGATCTGGCAGAGTATAGAATTTTGGTTAGCCCCATTAATTTTCGCCTTGGGGCTGCCAAACGGATTAAAATCGTGGGCGTTGAGTTGGAAATAAGTTTTTTACTTTTTTTCTGGAGGAAAATGCTCGAAGTATCCAAAATTATAACAACAAACAACAAAAGCAATTAAATTGTGCCCACTTAATCTATTAAAATTATGACATTTTCCACATATTTCCATCGTTCGAAGCCAAGTGCATTTATGGGGGGCCCACTTCCTTCCCCTTCCACGTAAAAGTATCTCGAGTTACGACAGCAAATGGAAATGCTGGAAAATGATGTAAACTCGGCTGACATAGTGCTCACAAATATACATTTTGTTGCGAGTTCTGCACTTATGAGAATCGCTTTCGTTTTCGTTTTTTCCCCCCAATATCTTTTTATCTCTCAGATACGGTCAGTGGCTGCCATTTGTTTACGACCAGACAGCTGCTGTCTTTGTCCCTCGCGATGCGTGCTGAAACCGCAAATATATCTACCGATCACTGATCTCTGGAGTATTTCCCGCCTTTTCCCCTTCCCTTTTCAGTTCTGTTTGGCAAACTTTAAGCCCGTTTTTAGACCCCATCTACTTAGCACCTCTAGATTCTCCCTCACCTTTGTCGTAGTGCAATGAGTTCATCGCTCGGTTTAAGTTTGGATTTCGATTGTTCAGCAAGTCCCTCTACAGTTTGCTCCCTGTTTCTAGCATACTCAACAAGCTGATTCTTATCGCCTAGTCATAAAATTTCAATTAGAGTGTGTTCTTTCGATTGCTCCTCCGATCTTTGATAGAATTTCGAAATCGTTTATTGTTGTCAGAGAATTGTTGGGTAATAAAGTTTCAAATACATTGAGATTTTTAATAAAGCCTTTAAAAGCCTTAAAGCAAGGCTTTTACTCCAATAAAATGTAAAACAAATCCATTGAGAAGTACTATATACAAGTTCAAAATAGTTTGCCTTCAAAAAATTCTTATTGCTTTCATCAAATCAATATAGGCATTCAAGCTTTAATTAAACTAATCAAACGATTCCCATTTTTAATACTAGAAAAGGCTTTAATCTACTCAAACATAATTTGATCATTGTGTGTAGGCCACTTCCCAATAAACCCTTTATCTTATCATGACCGCAAATACCCCAGAAGTCAGTGGGCGATACACCGTCATTTTTTCCCGCCCTCTTACAGTGGGTGAATGTGAAAAATACATTTTACAGCGGCATAAATTGCCCAAGTTTATTGAAAGACCTGGCCAAAAGGCCACTAACCGGAGGAGAGATCGCCCATTGGGATCAATATCACCCACATGAATTTTCGCTGGGCTTGGTTGCCTTTCGATTGCTCTTTTTTTCTGGCCACGCATTGCGTTTTCACCTTAGCACCTTCAGCAAGGTCAACACTCGCATTCACACACATTTTATCTACTTACTAATAAAATATTTATATTGAGATCGTGGCGATCGGCCGACGGTAGATCGCTTGGAATTTCCTGCGAAAGAAACAAAATCGTGCCTTTGACTTTTAAATATAGATGGAAGACGGAGCCGAAAACAATTGCCCACAATTTTTGGCCCGACGTCATCCTAAATAGACTGAGTAATGCCTCAGGTGTGGAGGGAAATAGATTTTCTTTAACGAAGACCTGGAACGAAAGTGAGATTTTCACTGGCTTCACAGTTTTCCTTCTTGTTTTGTTGACTTTTCTTTTGGCAACGCTCTGCGGAAATCTCTCGCAGTATTTTCAATTAATTTCCCCCATTTTCCTAGTTCAGATTTCCCTTCATTAGACGACGAAACGTCCGTCGCCTTTGATTTGCTAGAAATGCTTTTTCCCCTTTTTATTTTTTTTCTTTTTTTTTGGGTATTTTTAGTCATGGCGATCATGGTGTTGACGTAATTTGGCAACCTTGATACCCCGTTCCCTCCCCTGTTTTAGTATTTTGGGCCGGTTCGCATTGTTTTTAGTTTGGGTAATTTATGTTTATTATTTTTTACCTTTTTCCAATGTGTCGTTATTTGTTTGAAACAAATGTAAAATATGGCCTGCATGTTCATTTTGGTATTTTTATGATTCCATAAATCTGTCTTTATAGATCGTTTGGCTCAACTAAATCTACAGACCATCGTAAATTTTGTTACTTGCATAGATCATCTATTGAGATCCACCCACTCACTTTGGATTAGGGAGTCTGAGTAAATGATATTTTGGATATTTTGTTTTTGCCGGTCTTTGGTGGTTGCCTCAGATCTAATTTATCGATCTTGTCGATGATTTTTGATCTTTATATCACATTGATTGAAACATCGTTTTGGTGATCACTCTTTTTCTTTGGTGTTTTTGTAGCGTCCAGTAAAACACCCTATCACAAACACATTTTAAAATTTGAGGTTGATGAATTTTGTTTATTTTTCTAGCATATATCTATTAATATTCTTCAAGAAAATTGCATCATTATCCGAAGATTACCGATCTGTCACTCTTCACCATATCCCTTTAATCTTCTAATGCGGTATTTTGTCAGTCTCAGTCAATTAATAGCGAATTTCGAATGCACAAAGCACTCCCCAGACAACAATTTCCATCATCAAATCACTTGGACTTCCACTGGGGGCAGGGAACTAGTTTTTTTTTTCGTTGGTGGACTGGGGTAAAGCTCTGATAGACGGGCAAAGACAACGACAACATCGACAACGACAACTACAACATCCACTCTGACAGGCTAACTCAACGCAAACAAAAACGACAAATCCGTCGTCGAGCCCCGAAAGACCAAAAATAAAAATGCGCTTATAAATAATTCAAATGAATCCGATTTTTGCCGGTCGCAGTGCAACAACATCAGAAAAACCTGAAAATTTTGAGAATAAAAAATGTCACTAAACAGTTCCTTGATTAATCATTAAAGTTTCAATTAAATCAGTGAACAATCAAAAAGTGAATCTCGTTCGAAACCATGGATAGAACAATGTACGGCAAAATCGATCCGGGAGCTCGTCAACCTTATCGAACAGCTCGTAGCAAGGGCATTCTACCAGGCTGTAAGTACTCCAAATGGAAATATTGGAAAAATACAATGAAATGTTTCTGCAAGATCGACTCTTGAAAATGAAAATATAAATAAATTAAATAAATAAATCAAAATGATCCTTATATCAAGGGACTCTAAGTCTAAGATTATGTGTTTTAATTTAAGTAAAATAAAAAGAAGCCTTTTGTGTGGGTACCACTAAAATTAAATAAATTTGTTAAATTCTGATTTAAAAAATTATTTAATTTGGTTTAACTTCATATTAAATAAGAAATGAACTCATTTTCATTTAGGGAATTCCGACCTTCATTTTTTCTACTTTAATTGACAAATAAAACTAAGAGAATTTTGGCAGGAGAGGTCGTTCATTTGAAAGGAACTTGTTGATAGCCAGAGCTCCACGCACCGATCGTCGCCATTGCTGTTGTCCGGCTGTCCGGCAGACCAATTAAGAAAAGGAGCCTCTAGACCAGTGGCCTCCGATGCGTATACGCCCCGAACACCAAGGTCATTGATGGATAGCCAGTAGCTGTAGGCTGGGTGTAGGTGAGGGGTGAGGTGCTCTAGCTCCTCTCTGCTTTCCAAGTTCACCAGGAATCCACCCCTTTGACGGCAGCGATTTGTGGCCTCAAACCAGTTCGATTTGGCCAACGAAATGTAGTAATGCTTTCCATTGACCTCTATAATGTCTAATAAAATATTTGTTTATAATTTTGTTGTAGCTATAATTACAAAACTTACTTTGATTACCTACGGGAGAGGCCTTTAAAAAAAGGACATTCCATAAAATCATACAAGGCAGAAGCACTCTTAACATCTTTCTACAAGTTTCAATTAGCAACTGACAAATAAAACGGGAATTGCTTGAGGCTCACAGATAATAAATACTGATAATGTTTTTTTAAGATATGACTACCATTCTTAATAGCACTAGTTTACAAATTTAACTTGACAAAATCAGAGAACAAACATTTAATTTTCCGGTGACTCCCTGATTCGATAAAAAATAAAATAGGCATGAAAACACATGAAAAACATTAATTACAATTAAAAAAAATGTTACCATACAAAAAATGTTAAGTGTCATTTTCAAAATTATATTTTAATTACTCACTATTTGAAGTTTTGGTAAAGTATTTACTGTAGGAAAAACCCCGTTAAAAACGGACAAAAAGGAAATGAAACTGAACCAAATTCTTCAACATTTTGCTGTCAACTAACTAAATTGGAAATGTCAAAGATCTACTTAAACCTTTTCCTTATCAGTGCTTGTGAAAATGTATTTGTTTTACAATTTACACCTTAAGTGTCGTAAAAAAATAAAAGCAAACGGCTTCAGTTAAAAAGATAACAAATTATCAGCTTAATAAACTGTGCGAATTGGAAGAAAATTTTAATTATCAATTTTAACTTGAGCTATTCCTTGGTAGCCTTTTTTTACAGTGAGTGGAATAGACATGACATAGACATGTAAACCTCTACTTCCAAACAAGAATAGATATAGTTTCTTGAGCTGGAGCCTCACAAACATACTTAAACAAGCTGTTATTATCATTATTGCAGGGACGATCGTTAAGTTGGATGTCCTTAGAGTATCCGTATATGTAGCCCAGGTGAATGCAATGTTCCCTTCCGCCGGCATTGTCGGGTTGGTCGGGGGCCCACCGCTTTATGGTTATGGGCTGAGCATTGGAGAACCAATTGTGGGTGCCAGTTTTTCCCAAGTCATTGCCCGATGTCCAGTGCTCCGTGCGTTCTCCCTTGCTTTTTAGGTACGCAGCCACGGCATCAAACTCCTCGTTCGTTTCGAATGTCACCAGTTCGGATCCCAACTTGCGGCAGTTCTCATAGCCTGTATACCAATTCACCTTGTCCTGTCCAAAGTAGTAGTAGCTATCGTTGATCTTGGTGAAGGGACTCGAGTTGATAGACACATTGTTTGGGTTCCCTTAATGTATTGTGAAATGCAGTATTAAATATATATTATAATGCGCAAAATGCTAACCGATTCTAATTTGGTCACTTACCTGGAGTCACAATAGTGGTATATTTTACGTTGGCCCATCCAAGACTCAAATAAGCCAGGAACAAAATAAGTTCTACGATTTTCTTCAGCATTTTGTTGCAAACTGTTTTGTTTGGGAATACTTTGTGCTTATTTATACGTTCCCTGTTATCTAAGCTGGTAATAATTGAATGTACAGCTTAATTGAAATGCTAAAATTAGAAGATCCATGTCATGGACTTTAATTTGATGCTATTTTTTGTTTTTGGTTCGACACCACTGATAAAGTCCTCTCTTTTTTTGTGTTTTTATTTTTTCAACAAAATTTTATTTTTTTTTATAATATACAAAAATGCATTCTTTTTTACGTATTTTTTAAGTACATTTAAAAATATTCTGAAAAGAATACTTCATATATTTACTTCCACACCACAATGGATATGGTTTCCAACATTGGAGCCTCGCAAATATATTTGAACAAACTGTTGCCATCCTGGGAGCAGGGACGATCGTTCAGTTCGAACTTCTTGGAGTCACCGTATATGTATCCCAGGTGGATGCAGTGCTCTCTCTGACCGGCATTATCGGGCTGATTGACGGCCCACCTGAGAGTACTCATTCGCTGGCCACTGGTAAACCATTTGTGTTGTCCAGTTTGGGCCAGGTCATTGCCAGATGTCCAATAGTTCTCCCGCGATTCGTTTGCCATTAAATAAGCGGCAACGACATCGAACTCCTGGTCTGTTTCAAACGTCACCAGTTCGGAATCCAATTCACGGCATTTTTCGTAGGCTGCGTACCAGTTGAGGGACTCCCTTCCAAAGAAGTAATATCTATCGTAGATTTTTACAAAGGGTTCCGCCTTGAGAACAGCACCAACGGCATTGCCTGCCAAAACAAATAAAATCTTAAATCAAATAATTTTAACTTTCTGATTTTCTAACTTATATTTATTTACCTTCGTTTACTTGTATGGTGAACTTTTCGCGAGTCCAACCAATTTTTGCAATCGTCAGCAATATAAGAACTAAAACCGTACACCTTAACATTTCGGTGTTCACTGAATGACGATCACAGACTCAAAGGTTTTATAGTGAGTGAAGCCCACTGGAATATTGATTAACATTGCTAATTTTTGAGGGGTATATTTAATTCTGCTTCTACCTATTTTCGTTTGGCCTTGTGCTTCATGTTTAAATTAAAGGGGTATGTCAATGCCAAGGTTTTCGGTCCTTAAAAATAAGTAAAAAAATAAGTAAATAAATATTTTGCAATAATTAACACAAAATTAACAATAATTCTAAGCAAAATGCATTTTATTTAAATAAAAAAAATATTTTGATTGAATGCAACAACAATTTTGTCTGCGTATAGACTTTTGTAATTAGTTCATCTTTAAGAGTGTAGTATACTTTTAGGAAATGCTTACAAAGAACAAGTTTCTTAGGAGTAGCTGTCTTTTCGGCAGTGACTTTAAAATCTGCTTGAACTCCGAAAATTGTACATTGAATTACAAAAGACTATTTCAAACCTTTAGGCATCATAGGAAATCATCATTAAAGTAAATGTAAACAAATTGCACCACAAACACAGCAGATGATGCAATCACAAAAATAGTGTATACAAATGCATAGCAAGTTAAGTTTTTTCCCTTTTTTAAAACATGCTTGCTCTAAGCATTTTTACTATCTATTTGTCAATACACTCAGAAAAAATGTTTGTTATTAAGTGTAAATTAACATGACAAAATTGACATAGTTAAAATTTGTATCATAAAATAAATGAATTATGATTAATTTGTATAAATTATATAGCACAAGATTTCAAAATTCCAATTATTTATATAGTGATAATGCATACTATCAAGAGAAAATTCCTCGACGTATTTTGAAGTGTATTTGCCCAGCATGTTTGCTTACATCTGCTGGGAGTAATGTTAATTGCAAACAGACTATAACACCTTTGATTGCACTCGCATCATAGTCTCCAGTTGTCAGCAAACGATTTGAATATTACCCGTTCAGTTTGCATTTCGACGTTGTGCGGTCTTCATCGGATTTTGTTTAATAAGTGATCGGAGAGCAAACAGTCAGTAAAATTGACATGAAAATCGGTAAGCTTCAGACAGTCGAGTCTTGCGATGTGGGATTCGCTTTACAATCTATAGACTGGTAGTCGCTGACCTTACTACGCGTTTCATTCATTAGATCATTAGATCATTGTTCCCATTGAGACACCAGCCGATCCAAGTATCGTTGGTGGGCGTCAGTGGTTTCCAATCGAATGTGTGTTCTATTTATTACCAGACACGACACTTTGGCAACAAACACTGGGCTATATCCAAGTGGATTAGTGAATAACGTGCGTTTCATAGTGATAAGATTAGGAAACATTTCAAAAACCTAAAGAAATTTAGAGTTTGTGTTAAACGAATGGATGAGTAGTGTTAAATCAGATTTAAATCATAAACATCTACTTTTGACCTACAGTTGTGTCTGGTAGCTTTAATAGTGGATATATACACCTGTTTTGGTTGGCATTACGCAAGATATTCTAATTGCCGAGGTGATCACCTCAGGGCATCAGATATTCGTTTGATTGATTACATTGGCGGTTGATCTCATAAAGTGGGCTTTACAGATAGTGAGGAAGTTGGGTTGGACCAACTATAAAAAGATATACAACATTGATGAAAGCATATCGATAAAGCAGAACCCGTTTTTATAGCTATGAATTGCCACAGGTCGGGGCCATCTGTTTATTATTATTATTTTTTTCTGATAGATAATCTCTTATATTGTTGAATTCCTATGGTGGAAGAACTCAAATTGTTCACCTTTTAAACCAAAAAATCAATTGAGCAAAATCATCACCACCAAAGCGACACAAAACAAAAAGAATAAAACAAAACACTTAGTTCTGAACAAAAGTCATAACAATTTGTGGCTATATGTTGCTGTTGTTGCTGTAATACTAATTTTAGTTTTTATTTCAAAGTCAAGTGATTCATTCATTCAGCAAACAAAAAGGCAACACTCTCGGGAATTGAGTGGAAAGGGGATTGCGAAAGGCGGACGCCAGGTGGCGCCACCAGCTATGTGACACTCGCCCACGCAACAACAAATGGACATAATTACTCAACACCTATACTCAGAAAAATATTTGTATAAATTCTAAGAAAATTAACCCTACGCGTTTGACCAGTATATTTTCCTGTTTTAAAGGTGTCATTATAAAACTAAAAATTATACAGAATTAAATCTTTAGATTATATTTTTTTTAACTACAAAAGCGTATCTGGGCTAAAAACAAAAAAAAACTCTTTTTTAGTACGTTAGTCCTATAGCAAAGGAATAAAATTTTCATTTCATCTGAGTGCATTGCTCTGCTGTTTGTAGCTCCAACTGTAAATGTTTTGCAACCGAGCGCATGAGTTGCACTCAATTTCGATTTCAAATTCGAGTGAGTGGCTATGCTGTGAGTTGAGTGAGCTGGGCGGTTGAGTGCGCGCAGCTTCGACGGCATTTGTTGTCGAGCGTCTTGTTCAGTTGCTTTTAAGATTTTGCCGAGCGAAAATAATTTTTGTGCTGTGCTGCTGCTGCTGCTGCTGCCGCCTCGAATGTGAGAAATCTTTGCGCGGGTGTGTGCGTGTGTGCGGGAATTTAATTAAGGCAGCCGCAATCGATCAGCAATATCAACAATAAAAGCCGCAAACAAGCCGCCAAAATGAAAATCGAAAGTGCTCCCGAAGCGATCCAAACAAAGCCAAAAACAAGATTAATATGTAACAATGTCAACAACAACACAGAGAGTGCAAAGTGGAGAGCAAAAATAAAAACAATTCGCGAGTGACTCTCACCCACGCTCTTTCCATCTCACCTCCCGTTCGCTCCTTCGTTGCATTCAGTTGTCATTGCAAAATTTCAACAGCTGTCATGTGCAGTTGCCTCTCTCTCCCTCCCTCTCACTCCTACACCCACTTTACCAGTTAACTGAAAACCGAGTTTTGAGTGTAACTCCGCCTTGAAAAAAAAAAAAAACAGTCAGCTGCCGGATATTTTAATTGATTTTAATTGCATTTTAATCAAGCCACATGCTTCTGCCAATTGCATTCTACGAAACTAATGTTTGAAATGTCTTTTTAATGAAATGTCCCCTCTGGCAGCAATAAAGTTGGTTATTGAACATATTTTCACACACAGAGAGAAATTCAGAGCCCTCACGATACACTTAAACATGGAAAAAATAAGGGTGTTCCATAGCGATTGATCTAAAAACACATTTATTGTACACAGGAAAAATACTTAATATTATTTCTTGATAAACATTAAGATTTTCGTTAAAGAAATCATAATATAAAGTTTTGATATATTTTTATCCGTACTTAAATGAAGGTAGCAAACCATATTTGTATATAAGTTTGAGACTTAGCTATTTGTTGTTTTTGCTATTTTGCTTGTCGTATGATATAAATCTTATGATAAGATCTAAAATAAACATTTTTATATTCGTTTCAACCAACTGCTATCATAACAAACTAAATACTTTTTAAAACAGTTGTTTCACATTTGTTTGTATGTGCATGAGATTTAAAGATTTTATTTCCGTTTTGGCATCATAAATTTAAAAATCCCGTTCATCTTTTTTGTCGGCTCTTCTTTAGACGTTGACCCAGTGAAGCGTGACGTTCTGATAACCCTGCCCTGTCCTATTTATAGATGATCCCCCTTCGCCCGTCTTTCCCCAACCGGAGAATTCATGGAAATGGGAGTACAGACCCCACATATGGTGGTTCGAATGATTTTCTCGTCAGTCAACCACATGTTCGATCTCTTAGTTTGGGACTATTTTTAAAAATATTGCGAAATAATTTGGCTTATTTTGTAGCCCAATAATGCAGAATGTTTTCGAATATAAAATCGAGCATCGTTCCTCCTATGCCTTTTTGATGATCTTTATACGTTCTTGTTATGAATCCGCTTGCCAAAACGTATGAATCGCGTCACACCTTATTTTCCTTTATATAACTCAATGTGAGTGCTATATTTGTGTTTCCACTCGATGTTCTAGACTTTTGGCATTGGCCCAGTTACAGGTGTGCCTTTTTCTTACACTTCCCCCAGACTTTTGAACTTTCGGTTGAAATGTTCAAATGTTGTTTGATTTATTTTCTGGCCTTATAGCTTAATCGCATGCTGTCATGTCTTCCTGCTGTTTTAGTGATTATTGTTGTTGTGGGTGGGTCAAATAAATGGCGTTGAGTGCGATTATATGACAGCTGATGATACAAGACATCCAATAGATACTTTCGGCAAGCTCAAAGTAACTTTAAGCACACTCAATCTAATGTTTAATGCACGGGAAAAACAATTTATAAACAACATTACTTTTAAATTAAAATAAACATAGTCTGTGATCCTGAATATAAATATTTTTATAACAAAGTTATTTTGGTAACTTTAACTGTTTTAAACCAAATTATCACGTTTTATATTATTTATGTGAATTTTTAAATCATATATTTTCGTTTCCCTTTAATTTTATAAAAAGGCAATAACTAAATTTTTTTTCTCTGTGAAAACTCTTTTCAACATCTTGTCGACATTTTTTTCGCTTTATTCATACGCTATTGTTAAGTGAATAATATAACAATAAGATAATATATTTTTTGTTTCCCTGTAATTTCTTTTCTATGCTTTTTTAACCAATTAAAAATGTAGTTTATTTTTTAAATAATTCAATAGTCAAAACTTTTCTCTGTGAGAACTCTCTTCTAAAACTTTTCTACATATTTCTCGCTTTGTTCAGCGCTAATATCATGTTTATTTAGCCACTTCCCCCGTTCCATAAAGCTCTTAGCTGAATTAAAAGCAAAAAGAATGCAAACAACATTAATTTGATCAAATATGTTGACTATAAGAGGTACAAAGCACTAACACACTGGCAGATATTATGGCATCGTGTAGATGCTATATTTCTTGACTTGGTGCGATTTTTAGCCCGTTCGACAACTTCGTCCCACCTAAACTGAATCAAAAATTGTGTGTAGATGTTAGGTCCCCCGCTCACCCGCTATCATACCTATATATACCTACATTTCTATATAATCACCCTGTGTGTTTGGCTAGTTTTGGGCTGCAGTGTGGGTGTCTTTTTGGCCTGACTTTGTTTGGCCCCGAGTTGATTGAGTTTTCGGTGCTTTCATTTGGTCAGTTGGCAACTGAACTTTCGGTTTAACTGTTGTTGTTGCTTTGCCGGTACAAAAAAAAATATTTAACTAAACTACCGTTTATAGTGGTCCAGACAAATCGAAATTTTGCATAACGCAACGGCAACCGAGTGACAATCAAACGAAACATTTCGATACCATCGGTTCTGGCCAAATTTAGTGCGCGAAATGTCTTCAAAACTGATATCATCGTCGTTCCACAGTTCGCCCCTCAGCGATTGCTTTAAAGTGGGCGAATTTGAGAGACGTTTGGGTAAGTTTGTTCAATGGGAGCAAGTGGTGCGTGGGCATTATAGGGTTAATAGTGTCTTTGAAGGCATTTGCCGAGGGCGGCTTCGGGTCAAGTTCAAGTGCGGCTGCAGGTGTATTTTTTTAAATAGTTATATTCATTTTTATGTTGTTTTCTTTTTTATTTAACTGGTGCTATATATATATATACAATTATAATTCACATACTCAGTAAACAGTATAACCCTTACGAAATTTTTTTCGTGCTATATTTAATTGCATTGATTCATTTGTGAATTCGTTTTTTGAACCAATATTTTTCTGTTGTGTAACTTTGATATTTTCTTCCGCCTTGGATAACAAATTTTACATCCAATTGAATACTAAGCTTCTCTTATCACTAAAAAAGAAACTTTCGTACCCTTCTCCAATATCAGTTACCCTAGACACAAACCAGAAACAAGACCTAAGAAGTAATTTTAGGTATTGTGCCATATCGCCCAGCACAAAAGAAAACAAACAAAGTGTTATCAGAAACTGTTGTTGTGTGATATGTGCCAGCAAGCGAAGGTAAATGGAAACGGAATGGGATCTCCGTTTAGTTAACAACGGACTATGCGTCAGAGGTGCAGTAACAGGTGCTTCAAGATTGGAATTTAAAGAGAAAATACCTGAGACAGACCGGAAGAAAAAGTGCTATGGCTAACTACGGGGATTACGACAATCTGGGTAGCAACGAAAATATACCACATAATTTAACAATAGCGTTGAAACAAAAGCTTATATTTGGAAATTGCTTATTTTAAGTGAACATATAGAAAGAACAAAACAATTACAACAGGTTGAGTTAACCAGATTTTACAATTAATTTACAATTACAATTACATTCTTAAATATAAGATATTTTTTGATGTTAAATAAGACTAATTTAAAACATTGTTCTAGAATTATAAAAATGCAATGTATGTCTTTTTTAACATGACGACTTGTTCAAGTTTTAATGTTGTTATTATCATTTTATTTTATAGATGCTCTTCTAGCTGATCTGCAAAACAGTGTGCCAGGTCAACCGCAACATCCTCAGCCGCAATATGGAACTGTCCAGCCCAAGCATCAACCTTTGCAGCATCAGCAACCACAGCAGTTTGTTGACAACACTCCAGGTTATGGAAGTCTCAGGGGCAAGGCCCAGCCTCAGGTGGTGAGTGGATATTGTTTTTAGTGTTTAACAATCAATGCTTACTAAATTGTATTTATTTGTTTAGTATCAAGAGCACTATAGCGTAGAGACGCGCTCGCCAACGGCAGGACAGGACTTCAATGGCTCCTCGACGATTCCAGGCTACGCCAACCAGGGATCCCTGCCCCGTCAAGCGGCACCGGGAAACACAGGACTCTCAGAACTGGACTCCTTGCTGCAGGATCTGCAGAATGCTCGCTACAATGGGGCGGATAAAAAGGGTGAGGGAAATGATAGTTTTATTAGAGAGAAAAATACGTGTACAATTTGTTTTATGGCTAGACGTCTTCATAACTCAAATATGGTTTATGTTTTACAAGTTTAACAGTAAATTGCAAAATAGTTCCGTTTTCTATTTTTTTTTATTAAATTCTCAGTTTACAATGTTTATTGAATGTCGAACTTGAGCGATTTACTACACATAAACAAAAACATTTCACAGTTAAATATCAAAAAGAGTCGTTTTCTATCTGTTAGTTTCCACAAAATGTTTACAGAATGCCTCGTACCTGGTAACTAATACCCAATAGCAACAGAATTCATCGTTTGTATTACTTTTCAAAATGTAAAATCGTAAAAACCGTATAAGCTGTTTATTGTTCTTCTAAGCATTACTGAATTGGAAATGCTTTGGTTACATGTAGCTAAACTCTTTCTATTTTACTTTCCGTATATTTATTTTATTTTCCCTGCTCTCCTCAGATGTCGATGTACCGGTGAACTACAGCACTCCAGTCTCGAAATACAATACGATTAATAGCTATGCCACCGTGGAGGAGCGTCCCACAATGGACAGCCTGCTGAATGAACTAGACAATGCTCACATCTATGCCGTGCCTAATGGGTGAGCACAAAATGAAATACACCTTCAGACTCAGGGATTAATTTTGAATCTTTATTTGTGTCTTTAAAAGATCTGCACACAAATCACCGACGCCGGGACGCCATGTCACCATCACTGTACGTGAAACGAAGACGGAGAAGCTATCGGGTCCCGATGGTCCAGGTATTTACCAGCTTACCCTAATATCTACTCGGCTTAATCTTTACTAATCTGTTTTGGTTTTTGAATTTGCAGTTGGCACGGTGGAAGAACAGATTGTGCACCAGAAAGATTCTTATACACCCAACCATGCTGTTCCGGGTCAACAGGTGCATCAGGCTTATACGTCGCAGGCCACCAAGGAACTGGATGACCTCATGGCGTCGCTTTCCGACTTTAAGGTAAGTTATTACTAATGTTGGGTTTCTCCAGCCATTGAGTTATTATAGTCAGAAATATAGTCGGAAGTTTTCCAAATGTCCAATTTCTGACATATAAACTTTATACACTTGGGTACTCATGTTATGATCAATGATTTGCTTTATAAAAAGGTTTAAAGATACGTTTAAAACGTAAATATGATAGTGCAAATAAAAAAGACTAAAAAGGTTATCCACACAAAAATATACAAACAAATTTTGACTTAAGACTGATTTTATAGAAATAACTCACATTTTGGAAAACAAAATTTTAACATATAATACATTTAAGCATCATGCTGAAGGCAATTAGTATGCATATCAAATAAAGATAAACTGCAAAAAACCGCAGAGACAATGAATGACAGCAGATAACCCAAACAAATTTTTTAATGACCTTACCGCTAAATTATCTGTTATGACTAACTAGATAAGAATGTAGTGGAGTGTAGATTGGATAACATTCTGAAAAAGGTTTTACTTATATTCATTTTGGGAAAAAAACTTTAATCGAAACTCTACGCGGGCCCTTATATTGTTATTGTTTGCCGGAAATCAATAATAGAATATCTCTATTGCAGTTTATGCAAATTTGTTTTTGACATAGTTCTATAAAAATTGATCTCTATAAGCAATCTGTCCTTGCTGAAAAAAAGTTGTACTTTTTGTTTTTAAAGTGACTTAAGACTTAAGTTTTGAAATTATCACAGAGATAAGCGATCGATAACGATTTGCTCTCTCAGTTACTTACGCTTTTAGAACCCAATAATCAATTGTCATCAAAATTGTATTTTCAAAAAAAAATCTGTCTGCAATATACCATCAAAGCGTGTTCTCCACAAATCTTTTTTCAAGTCCACTACAATACATAATATTTGCAGAAACTTTGTTGTAAGCAGCACAAATGTTTTCACTTTTTCACCTGTCGAAGGGATACGCTCACTTTGAACAGCGTCAAAACAATTTGCATTTGGCCAAAAGCTTCGGCTTCCATTTAATGCCACCACATCCTCCTGCTTCTCCTCTACGTTTTTGTATATTTTTAGCAAGCGACATGCCATTTCTCGGTTAGATTGTGTTTTGTAATAATAACCATAAAATGAGCAGATATATCATGGCAAATCGTCTGACGCAAGGCAACCGAGCGAACCTAATGACACCGCCGATCCATAGATCCCCGGCCCATGCCCATTGACGATCCCTTAGAAAAGTAGCAGGCCAACCGAATAGATCTTGACTTTGACATCTGCCAACGCAGCCCGAAGGTGGATGATATTGGGTATACTTCAATGGGCCACATAAATTGATTAGGCTAATGAAGTCTGATTATGATGGCTGCTGTCACACGATTTATTGCACACGGCGCCAAAATATTTAAATTTCTTTCCCCGATCACCGTTTTCATATACGCAAATGTATTTTAATTTCAATCCGTACCCCATTAGGCCATCCATCAGTTTGGGCGGCAATCTAGTAAATAAAAAAATGTATTTAATTATTCATGCACTGCACATCTCCTTAGAATACATCCAAAACGAAAATATTGTTTCCGTTCATTTGGATTAGCCTGTTTTTCTTTTATGGCGATGCCTCAATTTCTCTTCCACTCACATGTCTGACATTTGTTTTTAGAACTTTCTGCCATCTTGAACACAGAGCGCCTATTTGGATGATGTATTTTAGCAGATGTCTTTTGGATTTTATTCGGTCTTTTTACGCTACTTTTCAGTTTGCTTTTTATGACCTTATTTAATATACTGCAGTCCGTTTGCTCCTTTTCTGTTTTCTAAAATCAATTTGGGTCAAGGCTGGAGGAATTTTTCCTTAAATCGACTGTCCTTAGCTCAGTTAGTTAATGGAACGCATCAATCATTGGATTGGAACGGAAAGATAAGGCTAAGGAATGCGGTTTATTAATAGTTATAATTTGGTAAAATGTCTTTCTTGCAGTTTTTCAACTGGTCATTTCATTTACATTATTAATTAAAGCAATAAACTTTTTTTTTGTATCTACATGCTAATTTCACCTTAAAATGTTTTTAAATCCTTTTTGACAGATAAATAAGCAAGAGTGTTTAAATACATTTTTGTGTTCTTAGTTCAACTAATTTATTGGCAATATCTTTTATTTAATTATACTTCTTGATGTGACAGTTGGTATCATTTCAGTTGAAATATGAATTTTCAACAGGTTTAATAATTTTTATTAAATATATTAAATGTTAAAAAAATGCAATTGACTTGAAAATGTTTATCTATACTAAATTAAATAGCAATTCGACCTTCTTTTGCACAAATATTGCAAGATGTCAGCAGGGAATGCCGCGAATTGTCAGTTTGTCGCCGAGGTATTCGGTTTGCATTAATTATTAATTAATTACTAAGTGCAAAATATTTTTGCACATTTCTTTTGGTTTGTTGGCAATCGATTCGATGGCCATTGCGCCATCATCAGCACACACTGAAGTGGGAAGGGGTGAATGGATTCTTCAGACTTTGAGTAAATTGCAATTCAATGTCATTGACGAATGGCAGGCGTGCATACACAAAGTATACACATTTGAGAGGTCGGGGCTTGTTAATTATTTAATATCATTTTCAGTTTTCTGCCAGCCGCCCGAGGGGACCAAGGGGCGTGGCAAGGCGTGTCCGTGACTTTTGTTGATATGATAAATATGAAAATTAAATAGAAAAGCCTCTTAGCCCCTTAGCCTCTTTTTTTGTCTATATATGTGGAAGGCGTAGAAAAAAAAAAGTGAAATACAAATATATATTCGGATATAAACAATATTGCACACGGCACGTATGATTTTCCCGGCGCTTTTCCTACCCACACAGTCAAGAACAAACGGACAGTTAGTCGCCCGCCCACCTCCACCTCCACCCCCACCACCAAACACACACACACCCCCTCCCACTTGTCAACGCGTTTTCCACAGCGCCGCTTTTGCTATAGTTTTTCATTGCAAATCATTTGCATGGCTATTTTCGAAAGCGTTTTTTATTCTATTTTCTTTCATATTTCATTTCTATAACCCAAGCGATCTATCCATTCGGCTGTGGGTGTTTTAGTGTGTCTGGTATATTATCTTTATTTTTGTTTGCGCTTTCATTGCCATCATCTGGCGTTCAAAACCGCATTCGCATTCGCATTTACCGCCTATTTCTCCCTCCGCCCGACACACATTCATTGATCGAGATTTCCTCGATGCCTTCTTCCTGTCCCACAATTTTATAATCCCCCAAATTTCCACCCTTTTCCCCGCTTTTCCCGATTTATTGGCCACGACTGGAAGCGTGTGCCAAACATGCTCATGCGCTTTTTATGGGGAAATCCTGTTGACCAGCCGGTCGACGTTCATTTTTATACTCAACGCCAAGCGACGGTTTTCGGCGGTTGTGTACGATTTGGGTCTTAAAATAGCCAATGAAAATATTAGAATAAGAAAACCCCGCCAACGCTAAAGCCAATGGCAATTGGTGCGGCAGCGGAAACAGGAGCGGATTAGGTGGGCCCAATAGATCTTAAAACCCTTGGAATGTTTTTAATTTTCATAAAGGTGAAATATTTGCTTTCGAGATTTGTGAAAGTATTGCTTAACATGTTAATATAAATAACAAAAGATTTTTATTTATTACTTTTATAATATCAGGTCCAATATAATAAATATCTTGTACACTAAATCACTTATCATTTTGTCAAACTTGAGTATTTGAATATAAATAACAGTTCATAAGAATTACTTTTGGAGTCCGATAAAAATGTATTTAATTAGGTAAACAATTTAATTAATTAACTGCTAATATTTAATTCGACAACAAAATTTGAGTAATTGTCTATCCGTACTGTCATAGAAATTCGTTTTTTCTACCAAATATTTAAAATATTTAGCCCCCTTTATAGTCTTGCTTTAAAAATGCAATAGCTTAACCAATTGGTTTAATTACACAACAAATGTGCAATATTTGTCTATCCTCACTGTCATATAAATGATTGTTTTTAGAAAACATTTAAAATAAAATAGCTACCGTGTGAAGAAGGCCCCATTTACAGTCCTGATCCTCCACTTGCTGAAAGCGGCGGACGCTCAATTAGGCGTCTACTTAGTTAGGCTGAAGCAGGCAGAACCCGAGCACGCCCAATGAAAACGCAAAGTTTATGAAAGAAAAATTGAATATTGAAATGGAGACTCGACAGACAAGATCCACACACACACACACACACACACGCACACACACACACGCAGGGGTGAATCCCCGCGGCCGCCCACTCTCTTCGTACCACCAAAGACTTTTCTTTCGTATTTTTGGCAATGAACGAAAACTACGTCAACGTAGAAGTAGAAGGAAAATGCTTTGCATATGAGGAGAGCGTCGTGCGCAACGAGGTCCACATACACACAGTTACACTTACAGATACAGATACAGATACAGATACAAATGCAAATACACATACAGATACTCGGCTATATAGTTTGGGCAGGAGAATCTGTGCGAAGAGGAAGAGAAACATTATTTTTGATATTTTGATTTTATTTTTTCTTGGTGGCAGCGACGGCTAAAAGCAAAAGTTTTTGTGCTAGCGCTCGCACAACTTTTGATTCAGTCGAGTGAGGCACATCGACGTAAGACCACCACGCCGCAGGATCCCCAAGGATCGCCGTATTAATTGTATTAATTGGGATACTTATCCATTCGCAGGTTAGCAACGGAACAAACGGCATTGGAAACGGAAACGGCAGTCATCCGCAACAGCACTCGTCGACAGTGCAGCACCAGACGGTAACCGACTACGCCAGACCGAACAAGGGCAGCCAGCAGGCCCATCTCACCCAGACGATCGAGGAGACGACCATCGTCGAGGACAGTCGCGAGGATCAGTTGGATTCTATGCTAGGCAATTTACAAGCGAACATGAGTCGCCAAGGAGTCAATACCGTGCAGAAGGGCTGCTGCAATGCCTGCGAGAAGCCCATCGTTGGCCAGGTGATCACCGCTTTGGGCAAGACATGGCATCCGGAGCACTTCACGTGCAACCACTGCAGCCAAGAGTTGGGCACACGCAACTTCTTCGAGCGCGACGGCTTCCCCTATTGCGAGCCGGACTACCACAATTTGTTCAGCCCGCGCTGCGCCTACTGCAATGGCGCCATTCTGGACAAGTGCGTCACCGCACTGGACAAGACCTGGCACACGGAGCACTTCTTCTGCGCCCAGTGCGGCCAGCAGTTCGGCGAGGAGGGATTCCATGAGCGCGACGGCAAGCCCTACTGCCGCAACGACTACTTCGAGATGTTCGCCCCGAAGTGCAACGGCTGCAACCGGGCCATCATGGAGAACTACATCTCGGCGCTGAACTCGCAGTGGCATCCGGACTGCTTCGTCTGCAGGGTAGGTTTTCTTGCTACATCAGTCCTGAATTAATGCTATTTACTTTTATCCCAGAAGTTAGCCGACTTAGCACTCACACATTTAAATTCAAAAGGTCATTTTATATGGATTTATTGAATCTATATTTAAACCGTTTTATTTGGATTTCATAAATCTATATTCTCATTATCGAAAACTTAATGAAAATATGGCCTGAGATTGATTTTTCAATTGAAATGAGTCAACTTCTTGTCTAAGCTTAATAATTTTCCTTCATGCAACATATATTAACTAACTTTTTCTTGAAAAGAAAATACCTTTCTTGACCTCAATATAACATAACCAATTATATAGAAAGCTGGACAAAAATATTTTAAAACCCTTAGGGACTAAGAAATCCCTTTTTGCATTGCCCCCTTGCATAATTGGTAAAGTGTGTGCACTTTTTAATCGCTCAACCCGATCACATTTGTACTTTAGGATTGCAAGAAGGCCGTGCGCGGCAAGTCCTTCTATGCCATGGAGGGCAAGCCCGTCTGTCCAGAGTGCGTGGGCGTCGATGAGGAGGAGTAGAAGAGATCCAACAGTAACAGCAAAAACAGCAGCAGCAGCAGCACCACCACCACCACCACCAAAACTTGTTGCTGAAGTTCAGCAGCCAAACGAAAATAGAACCCGGTGACAGCGGCTTTAGATACATTTTTGTATCTAGTTGCGTGCCACTTTTTTATTATCAGCGTCATGAAGAAGTCGGCGGCCGAAACAGCTGCCCGCCGTCCGTCTTGGGCTATTTTCGTTGCGGGTCTAGGAGCAATACAACACAACACAACACAACAAAACACAGCGGCAACATATACAGCAGTAGCACCAGCAGCAGCAGCAACAGCAACATCGGCACTGGCAACAGCAATTGAAACCCCCATTTTAATCCCTTTTTGTTCACTCGCCCAGCTGGCCCGCTCCTTTTGGGGGGCAGGTGCCGCTGGGGAAAATGAGTATCGAGATCCCCGACAAACCAGCCCTCTATGATGGTCTTTTTGCCCCCTTTGCCCCTTAAAACCCGACTTGTTGAACTTTTTCTATGCAATTTTTGTAGGCTTAAGTTAATAGGTACTTTTTAAATTTAAAATCATTTATGAAAATGACCCACAATATTGTAATTTGTTTTTGTAAATAAAATTTTAATAATTACACATTAAAAAGAAAAACAAACAATCAACAAGAACAGAAAATGGGAAATGGATAATATGAAAAGATGAAAACTGTTTGTATCTTTTCAAGGTGGCGGCGACCTTCGGGCGGCATCCACCCACCCAAAGATAGCCAATCAGACCTCGTGTCAAGGTCAGTGTCAGCATGCTGGCATTGACACATGTGTCCGATGCTATAGATGTCGACCCACACCCACACCAAAACACCCCCACTCCCATCAGTTTTGTGTTCTTGTTGCTGTTGTTCCGGTTGATAAACAAATTACAATATTGTGGATTAGATTTTCGATTAGCGAAAGCAATCATTTTTACCACCCAAAACTATTTTCGTTGCTGACGTTGTAGTCAGCATTTATGTGCTCCGCATAGTACTTGTCTATATATCTGTCTATAATGGACGTAAGATTCGCACTGTTTATTGCTCGACTTTAATGGGCATCCCAGGGTGTTAATTGAATTGATTGTTTTAACTAAATTTAAATATATTCGTCAATCTTGGTCAACTGGACTTAGCCAGTTCGCGGAATTGGCTAACCAAAAATAGAATGCCAAAAACTGCAATCATTATTTAAATATATAAAACACATAATTGAAATTCTCCATTGACTGAAGAAAATTTCGTGCCATATATACTTTTGGTTTATTTTTAGTTCATATCGATATTGATTATTTGGTTTAATTTTTGTTGCTGTGTGCCCCACTTATGAGTTTCCTTTCATATGAGCAACAAAGAATATTTTATGAAATGTTTTCGGGCGAAATTGTTGCACCTGTTGTTTATGGAATGATTGATTTGTACGTGGTGGTGAAAAACGAAAATAGTTTTTCCCCCGCAGATATAACGTTCTCAATGATCCTTTTGCTCCATGTTTCGATTGCTGTTGCCGGTTGGATGATATTGTCCTCTGCCCCCCTCACTTTTTTCCATTCCCCTTCATTTGGAAACTGGCCAAAAGCGTGCGCAAAATGTTATTGTCTTAAGACAATTGTTGCTGTTCTTGCTGCTCCCGAAATGTTTTTCCAAACAAAAGCAAAAACAAAAAAAAAAAAACAGAATGAAACAAATGTCTTGGCCACTGTTCTTTCATATATTTATCATATTTAAGTTTCCTCGAATCTTGTTTTTTGAAATGTACATTCTTTGTTTTCCAATTAGCCTGACACTGTGCACAGTGGGACCAGGGTATCATAGTGACCCATTCGACACTTTTGGTTTGACAAAATTCTAATTAGGTTTTTCAGGCCAGGCGTAAAATTTTGCACATCAAATATTATGTTGTCGTCTCTCGATCGGTTTGCTGGTTTGCTGGTCCGTCATGCTATATGGCAACTAATTTATGGTCGTAATTAGCCTGCGACGCGGACTGCACGACCATTTGGCCCACAATACATCATCCTTGTATCTATCATATGTTTTCAAAATGTACATCTTGTGCAGACGGTTTAGTTTTAATCTTAATACGCAGTAACAAATTTTAGTTTTATACTGCGTTTCTACGAAGTCCACTTTGCAAAGAACTAAATTTATTTTTCAATTATTAGTCAAATTTTGTTAATCATCAAAACAATTCAAGGTCCTAAAGATTATATTTGTTTGTTGTTTACCAGTCGTTTTCCTGGATTAAGAATTTACCATTTTTTATTGCTTTCTTTCTGTTAATTAGGCTATTTTATATGGCGACTTTGAAATATTTTAAACATTAAAAATTGAACCTGATTCATAATTTAATAATATTAGAGAGGCTTAAAAACTGTATATATAATTTTAAAACAATTTATCTTCAAGATAATATAATATCTTTTTATATTTTCTCGATTGCAGGACTGCCGACAGCCCTTCCAGGGAGGATCGTTCTTTGACCACGAGGGACTACCGTACTGTGAGACTCACTACCATGCCAAGCGAGGATCACTGTGCGCCGGGTGCTCGAAACCCATCACCGGACGCTGCATCACGGCCATGTTCAAGAAATTCCACCCGGAACACTTTGTCTGCGCCTTCTGTCTCAAGCAATTGAACAAGGGCACTTTCAAGGAGCAGAAGGACAAGCCGTACTGCCACACCTGCTTCGACAAGATATTCGGTTAAATTCGCAGCTGCCAAACCCTAGTTATGGATATAATACTGTTTTTTATACGATTTACGAACCCTATCCCACACGCACCCTACACACACACACACACACCTATTTACCGTGCATCTGTGCTTTGTATAACCGAGTCAATTTAGTAATTTAATTAACGCCATTCGAGCAGGATACGATAATAGAATGCAATCGTAATCAATTAGCAGACACTAATCCTAATCAATTATGTTGGTCACTTTGATATTGCTAATCGTTCGAAAAGAAAAAGACCACAGAATGATAAATAAATAAATATGAGAAAGCCAAAATATGCGATTTTTAACTGCCTACCTCAAGGGGTGGCAAAAGCAAAAGCTGGGTGAGCAAGCTAAGTGAAAATGTGAAAAATTATGGGGTATACTTACAGCCAGCAAATATAAATTTTAAAATTTGCAAAACGTAAACGTTTTATCGCTTTACTAGTACCGTTGATTGTTTAAATTTAATACAATAATGGGAGAAAACCATTCTTAAAAACCTTAAGAAGATCAAAAGTTAAGCGAAATAATGTACACAGCTGCTTAATATTAGTGTGAAATTTATAAAATTAATAAAACACTTATGCGGTTAAACATTAAACAATTTAGGATCTTTTCCAGAATTGAAAAATGTTGACTCAGTTTTGTCCACCAGTGTAAATGCTGTAACGCAAATTATAAAATAAATTTTTCAAGGCCAAGGACTGCGGTGATAAGTTTCTTAGCCGAGACTCGAACCTACGCTTAGTTTTTGCTTTCTGTATCTTGTTTGCGCAACAATTCACCAACATCTTCGCATCTGACTCTCTTTTCGAATCTTTTGGATACGGATACAAAATACTCACCCACACAGATGTAAAACGATGCCGGCCGGTTAACAAATACTCTGTTGCCTTCTCGCTCTGACAACAGGCACTTGACATTGAGGCAGAATAAAAAGAAGAGGAAGAAGCGCGGTCAGCTCTCATCGACCCAGTACCCACACCCCACCACCATCCCCCGCCCACCATTCATTGTACATCCCCAAAAGAGAGAGAGAAATTCGAGCACACAGGCAGAAATGCGTTATGATATGATAATACTAAGAGAATTACAGTTTTATATGATTTTGTACATTCTTATTTGATATTAAAATTCTAAAAATGCAATCAAATTAAAAATATACCTTGCTACTATTTTGTAAGTATACAATTTAAATTTAATAGATACAAATAAGAGTTGTTTTCATAAAAACATATACAAATTAAAAATATTTGTTCAATACCAATGCAGAGGCTTAATGTAGAATTGTTCTCGCACTACATTTTTTAAATGAATGTAAATGTTTATTTAATCTGCAAATTTCGATATCCATCTGTATTTTTTTTTCTGTGTGCGTGCGGGACTCGCCCCTATAAAAGACCGTAGGGTTCCCATACTTTTATGAATCAGGCGGCGTTATTCTTGCTCTGCTCAGCTCATTCACTTCCCAACAGTTGGCCGTGTCGGTTCGTGGTTTCCCCAATCCAAATTCTCTGATTCTCCGCTCCCCGATTCTCCGAATTTCTCGCGGTCGTGTGCCGGTTGCTGTTGTTGTTCTCGAAGCTCTTTATAATTCCGCGTGCGTGGGTGTGTATGTATATGATTTTTGTTTAATTGCCATCATTTTGTGAGCTCAGCTGGTTCAGAGTTTTCAATTTTCGGATATAATCATAGCAAAATTCCATCGAAAGAGAAAAGAAAAAAGGGCGGGACGCAGAGAAGAGCCACAGGTTGGTGTTTCGCATACAGTTGCAACGAGAGCATCTCTCACGTGGTCCAAAACCAGAGTTTTTAACTCCGATTCTTATGAATTTTCTCTCTCCCGCCATCTGGGCCCAAAAAACAGTGCCGTTTCTACCAACTTGTTGTTTTCGCGGTGATGTAATATGAGCCCGATACTGAAACCGAACCCGAGTCCTTAGCCAAACAAATCGCAAACAGGGTGTGTTGTTCGTACAGTGAAAACTTTAAGAGGAATTATTTTAATTTAAACAAGAAAATAATATTAATTTTATCATAAACAGTTAACAGTTCCTTCAAATATTTTAAAATTCCTTAGCATCTTTGCTAGAGTGCAACAGTTTTCGAATGGTATTAATCCAATAATGCCCCAAAAACCTTTTAAAAATCATATTTTACCAGCTACTAATTGTCTTTAAAATAAATCAGTTTGATCTAAACATCACATCAACAAATTTCCGGCAATAAAAAAGGTTTTTGTTATCACGAACTGCAAAAACGATCTTTCATCTAGACCATGTTATTAAGATTTAATCTTTCACAATTACATTCCGTATAGCTTGATAAAATATAGTTGATAGTACTTCAATTATTAAAGTGCTAATATTATACCTGGGGAATATTTGCTAAAGCTGTGGGATCTACATTAAAAAGATATTAGTGAATTTCCTGAAAACAAATTTGTTTTGAGTTGAATGCATAAAAGTAATTTAATTTTGTTTGTGCTCACTCAACAGTCAATCAAGTAAAACTATTATGCCTGCTACCTTCACTTTGTAGCAATGTAATTTTCCATAATGCATGTAATAAAGTTGTTAGAGTTTAGTGAAAAGTTTTGAGCTGTCATAAGGTTTTTTCTGCTAACGGAACTTTTCACTGTACCTTGACCATGATATCAGCCTCAATTGGGCTTGATGTGGCCACAATTGAGGGCCCTTTTGTGCCAGAGTGTTGATTGTGCGCTAATTTGTCTGGGGTGTGTGTAAATAAAAGTGAAATTAGCCATTGCAAATTGCATTGTAATTCATTTGAAAAATTTGCTTGTTCGTCGTTTGGCTCCAAATTGATTGATAATGATAGAAAGGGGAGAGTATAAAAATAAACCGCCGGCTATTTTCATATTCAAGGTTGACTCACAGTAGGGTGGTGGTCGGTGGTCGGTCAACAAATTGGGACAATTTTCACCGGCACGCAACAGCGATTGGGCGTTCTAATGGGCTGTGCTCATTACATCCCCACCTGGCCGCAAATTTCGAGCGGGCTTATCACGTAAGCCAAAAGTTTTGTTGCCATTTAGCCGGCCAGCTGTTCAGTGCTGCTTAAACTATTGTACTTATCAGTTTTAGGTTTTTTTTTTTTTTCATTATACACTATTTTTGTTAGGATTTATGCTGCTTTGTTTACTCCCTCTCTGATGACACATCCATACGCCCCTTCTTTAAGTTCTTGACTTGTATTTCCGCTTCAAATTCTAATTTATTTACTTTTCAAACCATCTACATTGGTCTTCTAAACAGTCGAGTGCAAGCAAACAATTTCGAGTGGAGCGTGGCTTCCTCGTGATAACTCATGGAATACAGATTGTGTCGTACTCTTGGGTACGAGTACATAACTGAGATTGCGAATTGAGTCGTACTAATTAAGTGTAGCAGTAACCATTCTGAGAAATCCATAAAAACCAGTTTATGGTCGATTGCCCGACGATTTTGCCAACGAAAACTTCCCGAACCTAGACAACAAGAACTTATCACTGTGACTGGGGAATCACGGGTATAATTATTGCTAATTGTTATAATTAGCCGATGGGTGACACCGAATCGACCGTTTGCTGTTGCTTTTAGCAATGCATGAAAACGAAACATGAGTTTTTGTAGTCAGAAAATGTTTTCTTTAATGAAATTTAATGAAAATTTAAATTATTTTTCAACAGATTCGATTTAATGCTATCAACATTAATGACTAACAAGAAAGAAAGCAAACTTCGGCAAGCCGAAGTTCATATACCCTTGCAGCTATTGCATGAATTAAATACTTTTGAAAACATTTAAATTATGATTTACTTGAGTATATGCTGAAAAACATTGAAACTATGATGATTTGCAGCTCAATTATGAGATAGTTATTTTATATATTTTTATTATTTCTATGGGAGCTATATGCTATAGACGTCCGATTTTGATAAAATTGAAACCATAATTCTGAAATAATTAAACATTGCTATATGTCGAAGAACTAAACAAAAAATTAAAAAACAGAAAAGTTATAATTTTTTTTCATTTATTTTTCCGATTGTTCCTATGGGAGCTATATGCTATAGTCGTCCGATTTTGATGAAATTTAAAACATAATTCTGAAATATTTAACCATTACTATATCTCGAAGAACTAAACAAAAAATTAAAAAACAGCGAAGTTATAATTTTTTTTCATTTATTTTTCCGATTGTTCCTATGGGAGCTATATGCTATAGTCGACCGATTTTGATGAAATTTAAACCGTAAATCGGAAATATTTAACCATTACTATATGTCGAAGAACTAAACAAAAAATTAAAAAACAGCAAAGTTATAATTTTTTTTCATTTATTTTTCCGATTGTTCCTATGGGAGCTATATGCTATAGTCGTCCGATCCGGCTCGTTCCGACTTATATACTACCTGCAATAGAAAGACAACTTTTGGGAAAGTTTCATGCAGATAGCTTTAAAACTGAGAGACTAGCTTGCATATAAACGGACGGACAGACGGACAGACGGACAGACGGACGGACAGACGGACATGGCTAGATCGACTCTACTAGTGATGCTGATCAAGAATATATATACTTTATAGGGTCGGAAACGTCTCCTTCACTGCGTTGCAAACTTCTGACTGAAATTATAATACCCTCTGCAAGGGTATAAAAATGTATGGTTGAAGCTGTTAATTAATAACTTTTCAAAATTACTTATTAATAGGCCACCAAAAATTTGGTTTTAGGAGGTAATAATGAGTAAGTCAACTTTTATTAAGTACCCTGCTTTAAACAACCAATTTTGCGCTTATCGTATTTTTCGCGATTTCTTAGAACCCTTTAAATTGGCTAAGTCAAAGTCCACAAAAGAGTATTTGACGAATAATTAAACACAAAAAGATAAGATGGTCATCAGTAATCGAATTTTGTTTTTTTGAGTATGCCACTAGAAATCTAATTAATTATATGTATATTACCCGTATCGGTGGTATTCCGTCTCTTTAATGTCGTCGCTGCCTCTTTAATCAGACACCGGTGTTCTACTATATTATCGCATGATCGATTCATGTTCGGTGATTCTGAGTACTTTAATAACAGGGTGGTCGTCAGTTCACGTAACTCTATTCATAATTCAAAGATAGCCTTGCAATGCGGTTTAAATGCGTGATACCTCAGATATCGAGTGTCAATAAATGCATGCTTCCCTTTCAAGATTTGTTTTTATCTTCGATATATTTATGTACTCAGAGCGATTGTGGTAACTCTTCAACGAGGGGATTCCAAAACGCTGATGAATGC